GCTGGCGAAGCAGACCTGCAAAAACAAACACCATGACCTGCAAAGAACGTGGATAGCAGCAAAGGGGAGGGTGAGCACAGATGGTGGTGAGGAGTGGAGCATGACGGACAATGGCAGCATGAGCAGACTGCTTGAGGGTTTAGGCCAGGACAAGCAACAGGGAATGGAGGGTTCATACCTGCATGACGGCCCTGTGCTCATAGGCAGCCACACATGCGCCGGTCTCGAAGTAGGGCGCTCTCCGGCAGGCGCATGTGATTCAGGGCGCGTGCGGTCGCGAATGAGAGACAGGCGCCTGCCCATACACATCAGTTCAGCGGCGCCAAAAGGGCAGAAACAGGTCAGTAATAGGACAGAACTTATGGTTTGAGTAATTGTGACCAGGAGCAACGAATCCAATCCCCAAAACACTGACCTGTCCATCTGCTTCACACGCCGCTTCTTTCATCTTGCGCACGACAGCCACAATGTGGCTCATGATGCCTAGGTCCGCCTGGTGCATGATGTCAGGCATCACCACGAGGTAGGGATTGCCCCACGCGGTCCCTGGGACATCCCACTTCCAGAGCACGCACTGGAAATGGGGATGTGGTGGGGAATGGAGGAGAGATGTACGTGAGAGTGGATAGGTAATCTAAACCACAAGTCGGGTGAGTTCAATGGGGCAGAGCACATCTGGCAATTCATGACGGGGCGGGCGAGAGCATAGACTACTCATGGGCCGGGGAAAACAGGTCACTCACCTCAACAGGGGTAGGTAGAGTAGGCCTTGCACGGGTTGTCCTGGCTAGTTGTCGTCCCCGCCGCCTCGTTAACGATCCATTGCTGCTGTTCAGGCATGCGCGGCGTGTTCCGTGCCTTGACAGCACTCAGATGCTCCTGTTGTAGCATGGGGCCGAGGGATGGGATAGAAAAGGTAAGGGTGGTAGCTATGTGGGTTCGCTCAGGCGAGCCACAAACGGGAATGTAATTGAATGCGTGCAGATGGCATGTGACCTCACCTTTGCAGCATAGCAGTATGCTGCACGGCATCCGCGATCCATGCGAGAGTGTGCAACTGATTTTGCCGCTCTCGGGGTAGTCGCACACCCAGGCGTACAGCAGGGGCCGCACGGTTTGCCAATCTCCGAAAGGGTCCCTGAGACGGAACCCGCTGCAAGGAATGGAGTGAGTGGCAACAGGCATTCAAGGTTGCGGCTTTTAGGGAGGAACGACGAGGGGCAAAGGGCCATGCTACATACAGAGAGGGTTTGCATACCATGCAGGTGGTGAGATGATGTCTTAGCAAGATGCAAACCGAGTACGGACCTGGCGATGCCATCAAGAAGCGGCTGCAGCACGGTGATGACGCAACGCTGGAAGAGCATCACCTTCTCCACGGCAGACATTGCAGATGGGGGATTGGAAGGAGGGCAAGTAGTGTGTGACCGGCTTTCCCCCATCGCTTGGCCTGGGCGATGTTCGCCAGCGTCATCATGAGCGGCCACGCCTTTTTCCGGCCGTTGTTGCTCATGTGCGTCACATCCGAATATAAGATGATCCCCCCCACAACTTCGGACCAACCGAAGTGTTCCTGCAGTGCACGACAAAGCGGCAACGGACACACGGTTTAAACACTCAAGATGCTCTTGAGAGATCAGTGCTGCGATGGATGCATGACTCAGGATTGGGTTTGGGGTGGCAACGTGGTCTTTCCTTACCTGAGCATCATTCCACCACGTTCCTGTTTCGGGCGTGGTATAGCGACGGCCGCCTGCGTCAGGGTCCTCATCTACACGCGCCTTGAGCTTGAAGCCGGGCGCGTTGTTGGGATGTCCAAACATTTCAGCGAATGCCTGGTGTACGGTGGCGAAAGCAGGTGAGAGGAGAGGCATGGTTCGTGGCAGAGAAGGTGGGTGTACGGTTAATACAAGGATAACTAAGTACATGCAAACCCTGTGTGCCTCATCATCATTTCACGGCCTTGAATGCAAAGTCGGCTTACCTGGGCTGAGTTCTGGAAGAGCAAGCGCTGTGGTGGATGACCGTCAATCTCGAAGGTCGCCACCGACCATCCGCGATTGAGCCCTGCCAAGCGCTCCAACTCGAACCGCTCCAGATCCTTACAGTTCCGGAGCTCCGAGTTCACAAGAGGCGCAAGGCCGGGCTCTACGACTAGCTGAAGCAGGCCGTTGATGTCAACCTCGGCCATTCCCATTCCGCCATTCACGCGCCGGACGAAATGCAGTAGCTTCAACGCGAGCGGATTGAGGGGCATGGCATTGCTCTGTCCGGAGATGACGGTTGGCGGCGCGGCATGACTCCCTTCGGGCCGGCTCTCAGGATGGTCAGTCGTCTCAGCCGCAGAAGCTCCATGCCGTGGTTGATGTTCATCTTCAGGAGGCCCCTCGTTCACGTCGTTGGGAGTTTCGTCAACGTGAGCATCAGGAACGCGTGGAGGTCGGCTCACACTGACGGCGTTGGATGCGTTAGACGCTGTAGGTGAACCGGGAGCGGCTGGAGCGTCCGACAGAATGTCGTGGACGAATAGCAAAGCGTGAAGACCGGCGGTCGGTGCAGATCGCGTGGGCCTCGCCACGGCGGATAGTCCTTGGCAAGGGGTCCGCCGTGACTTATGACCGCCATAAACTTGGGTGTTGGGGAACCATCTGTTGCAGAACTCGCAAACGACGCCTGGTAAAGAGCCCATCAGTTACGGATCCGTTGTAGAGTCGAGACCTGGCCTATGAAGCTACTACCCGTGATGAAGCCTGTGAACGCATTAACTACCCCGTTCAAGAAGTCTGTAACAGCTACACGATCATCGCCAATGCGCGCACTGTGGTGGGCGGCTTGTATCACTGCACGACTGGCTAACGTTGTCGAGCCGCGTGGTCATTACCAGGCATGATACAGACCGCCCATAGCACGGGCCGTCTTCCCTACAAGGCGTGTCGCCCCCGTTTACAGCGACCACGACGTGGCCAGGGGAGATGCACTGGATCTTAAGTCTCATGGTCGTGTGTGTGATTCGCAAGCAAGGCGAGAAGGACGTGCCTATTGAGTCTAGAATAAGTGTTTATGAACTGTGCGTGAGAGTCGAGGAGGATGAGGAAGAGCGGGAAGAGATCCGTTTGGATCTCTGATTGTGTCGCGAATCGATATAGCCTCAAAATCGGAACTACGTAGGTGAGCTACAGAGGCGTCAAACAAACCTGGAAATGCATATGTACAGTTACAACTTAACAAGAAACTCGTATCATTCATAAATAGTAAACATTCATATCCTTGGGACTGTTCTTGAACAATCCTTACTCGATAACGATACGGGAACTACCCGGTAACTCCATGCCGTAACGTATGATTGGTGCTTGGAGCAAATACATATATCGTGCCGCACCGTGAAGAACGAATATCCAAGAATGGATGGCTGTCGATAACGCATCTACGCTTGTGCGTTGGGCCTGTGCTTCATACCACTCCTTCTAAGCACCTTGTGTAATGTCTGTGCAAGAATGGATGACAATCCAACACCATACCACAACGAATTCACCAAGTCGCGCAACGCGGAGGCCTGAACGATGCATCGTTGCACAGTCTAAACATGGCTGTCGATAACGCATCTACGCTTGTGCGTTGGGCCTGCGCTTCATACCACTCCTTCTAAGCACCTTGTGTAATGTCTGCGCAAGAATGGATGACAATCCATCACCATACCACAACGGATTCACCAAGTCGCGCAACGCGGAGGCCTGAACGATGCATCATCGCACAGTCTAAACATGAATGTCGATAACGCATCTACGCTTGTGCGTTGGGCCTGTACTTCATACCACTCCTTCTAAGCACCTTGTGTAATGTCTGTGCAAGAATGGATGACAATCCAACACCATACCACAACGGATTCACCAAGTCGCGCAACGCGGAGGCCTGAACGATGCATCGTCGCACAGTCTAAACATGAATGTCGATAACGCATCTACGCTTGTGCGTTGGGCCTGTGCTTCATACCACTCCTTCTAAGCACCTTGTGTAATGTCTGTGCAAGAATGGATGACAATCCAACACCATACCACAACGGATTCACCAAGTCGCGCAACGCGGAGGCCTGAACGATGCATCGTTGCACAGTCTAAACATGGCTGTCGATAACGCATCTACGCTTGTGCGTTGGGCCTGTGCTTCATACCACTCCTTCTAAGCACCTTGTGTAATGTCTGTGCAAGAATGGATGACAATCCAACACCATACCACAACGGATTCACGTTTGTTATTAGTGATAATCGTGTTAGAATGACGTCCGCTGGCCCTAAACCATTGTGGCAAAGCCTAAAAGTGCGCAGTACATCTTTCCTAAGTAATAATTCAAGACGGTCGTTGTGTGTGTGACGTGAGAATCACCGATTAACTTACCCCAACCCCGTACAAAACCAGTTGCAACTTAGAGTTTGATGAAATGCGTTGTTACTTTGCAACCGAAAACACTGTACTTTGCAGGGATTTGACTAATTTCGCACTGTAGGTTTCACACCAGGTTTACCCTTTGTTGTGATTGATGTGTTGGCAACCGTCATTGGCCGACGCATCTCAAACGATTCCCCCCGCAACACAGTCATCAGCCAAGAGGTACTTCAGCCATTGGGCGGCTGAGATCGAGCGGAAGGTGGGTTTATGCTAGGGTGGCTACACGTACACCGTCCAATGTAGCCTGATAGGGTTACATTTCTCTCTCTAGTCTCGCAACTCACCCCAACCACCCTCGTGCCCCACCCACCTGCTTCCGTCACTCCCTGGGCCAACACTTTGACGCTGCTCGTTGCCTTGACACACGCCTCTCCAGATCGGCCTTAGCGCGAAGCATAGTGGCTACTATTTCAGACTTAGTTGAAGCGGCTGTTTTCGTAAACACATAACAGTGATAGACGGCCGATTATGCCTTCGTGGGATTCAGTAGCAAAACCCTTTCGAAACCGGCTCAACCCTTCCGCGCGATTTGCAACTTTGCTCTTCCTACGATTACCATGACACGTGCAACACGTAACCAAGCAATGGAGGAGGAACAGGCCGGCCGCCGCGCGACAAGGGGGACGTCTAAACAAATCGATAGGGAGAGTGGTGGCGGCGCTAAAAAAAACAATGCGTTCGTCGCTCGTGGCATTGGGCCGAAAAAAGCGGCGGCAAAAAAGGTCGCGCGCGGTCAACAGGAGGCCGGCAAGAAAGCGGCAGACAAGGGGCCTAAACCAACGCCACGCAAGCGTGTTTCTACAGTGAACAAAGCTGCGGATGGTGCCTCTGCTGGAACCGAGCCCGGTCCGAGTAAAGACGGCACCACTGGCGGCAACGAAGATCCGGGGCGAGGGAGCGCGAGTCTTGCACTCCCGTCGGCGGAGATGGAGGGTTCGGCGACAGGGGGAAATCACGGAGGCGATCCTCGCGCCGAGCATGCCGCAACCAAGGAGTCTGAAGAGGCGGCAACGCAACACCATCTGACGCTGCTCCAGCCGAGCGTGGTCCAAGTTTCTGCAGCCGTGCTGGATAAGGACAAGGTGGCACAGCACGAGTCGGTGGGGCTGGTCGGTGGCTCTCCTCCTTCTGGTGGACGGGGAAGGCGTAGGCAAAGGAAGAGCGATGGGGAGGAGGATGATGACACCGCCGTGCCCGGGGACCTCACCACGCGGGCGAAGAGGCGCCAGACGACAGGTAGTGCTGACAACGCCGGAGGCGTGGAAGTTGACACACCGCGAGGCGCCAAGGAAGCTAGTGGCAAGGCGGGCGGTCAAGCATTGCGCCAGAAGGGCCGCCCCGCAGCAAGAAAAGCATCTGGCGGAAGGAGAGGCAAGAAAGCGGCGACAGGAACGAGGCCGAAACGGGGCGATGAAGACCCCGGTGATACGGAGGAGGAGGAGGATGAGGAGGAGGATGCGGAGGGAGAGGAGGATGAAGAGGAAGCGGAGGAGCAAGACGCGGATGTTGGGGAGGATGCTAAAGATGAGAATGATGGCGGGGAGGACGAAGAGGAGGAGGAGGAGGAGGAGGAGGAGGAGGAGGAGGAGGAGGAGGAGGAGGAGGAGGGGGATGAGGAGGAGGAGCAGGGTGACGAGGAGGAGGAGGAGGAGGAGGAGGAGGAGGAGGAGGAGGAGGAGGAGGAGGAGGAGGAGGATGTGGCGCCAGGGAAGAGACGGGGCGGGCGTGGCGGTCGGGTGAGTGGGACAGGGAAGGAGGGGGGCCGGACTCACCCTTCCCGAAAACGCGGGGCAGGTGACGCTGCGCGCGGCGAAGCAGCGGGCAAACCAAAGGCGCGTAAGGTGAAGGTCGAAAGTGAAGGGGTTGGTAAAAAGCAAGGGAGCCAGGGTGCAAAAGGGGATGGAGGAGGAAAGGGTGGCCGCGCCAAAGGGGTTCGAGTGGGTACCGGCAAGAAGGAACCTGCCGGTAAACGTCGCAGCGTGCGCCGAAGCACCCCGCGGAAAGGTGGCAACGAGAACGCGCAGGCTGCCCCAAAACCGAAGGGACAACAGAAAGGTGAGCATTGTGTCCAATACAACTGGCGTGACGTGTTAAACAATCTGCTAAACCGTCCCAAATAACACCCTTTATTCACATTGTTTCTCTCCTGCAGGGAAGGAGAAGGTTGACGAATCTGCCAAGCAAGGTAAACCCTCTTGTCTCAAACCAGTACAACCCTAAACCCGATCTAGATTCAAACCTTTCTGAATATGCATGCATGTCTGGCCCCGCCTTGAAACCGATCGACTCCAATTTTTATTTTCCCACTCCCTCTACATCTCAGCCCCTCGCGTTACAGGCATTGGGCCGCCCTTAAGCGTGCAACGAATGCATCTAACGAAGGCTGCCGGAATAGCGAGTGTTACACCGCTCTCGTCCGGCGCACCAAGGTTCTACACGCCATGGGCCGGCCCCAGCAAAGTCGCTGCGACGGCACCCGGCGCGCCAAGAGGAGAGGAATCCGAATCCCCTCCACCCGTCCTCGTCACGCACTCCTCACTCGCCTCACCCTCGTACCCATTTCGGCAACTCCACGCTTCTCCTGTCCGGGGCAGGGCGGTCTCCCCCATCGCCGGTCCTTCGCGCGGGCATCAGGAAGGCACTTATGCCAAACCCTTCCCTGAGCTCCCCTTTTCCCGCCAGCGTGATAGTGTGAGGGCACACGGGACTGCTGCAGAAGACGTTGATACCCTTGGCCAGAGGGGGGATTCTTCACACCCTTTTCCTCCGCTCATGGGTGCCCTAGGTGAAAGTGAGGAGCACGAGCAGTTTGTTACACGGGAGGAGTTCCAGGCGCTGCGGTCTGAGATGTACGCCATGTTTGCACAGCTCGGCCTGCGTCGTGGAGTACCTGCCAGCTATGCCGGCGAGTCGGCAGCCCTGCCTATGGCTGGTACCCCGCCGCCGATGAGCGCCGTGGACAAGGCACGAGTGCTAGTGTTGCAGGAGACAAACCCATTCCCGGTATGTGGCGGGCCAAATGGGGCGGGTTGGGGTTGACGTGGCAACAAGGTCGGGGTTGGGGCTGACGTGGCGGGTTTGAAGGGAATACGGGAGCGGCGCGTGACGAGGCGACGCGTATCAGGTGGGTGGGGGGTGACGTGGCATGGGGTGGGTGGGTGTGACGTGGCAAGTGGGTCGGGTTGTTGGTGAACGTGGCGGATGCAAGTGCGTGTGACATGGCAAAAGGTGAGGGTTGGGATATGACGTGGCGGTGTGAAAGGGTGCAAGGGAGTGCCGCATGACGGAGCGAGGCGTTTCAGGTGGGTGGGGGGTGACGTGGCTCTTGGTGGGGGGTGTGACGTGGCTCTTGGTGGGGGGTGTGACGTGGCAAGTAGGGCGGGTTGTTGGCAGATGCAAAAGGGTGTGGCGTGGCAGAATGGGAGGGTTGGGGCTGTCGTGGTGGTTTGGAATGGTACACAGGAGCCGCGCGTAACGAGGCGACGCGTGAGAGGTGGGTGGGGGGTGACGTGGCATGGGGTGGGAGGGTGTGACGTGGCACGTGGGGCTGGTTGTTGGTGGACGTGGCGGATGCAGGAGGGTGTGACGTGGCACGTGGGGCTGGTTGTTGGTGGACGTGGCGGATGCAGGAGGGTGTGACGTGGCGGAAGGTGAGGGTTGGGGAAGACGTGGCGGATGCAGGTGGGTGTGACGTGGGGGAAGGTGAGGGTTGGGGATGACGTGGCACCCTACAAGGGTACACGTGAGCGGCGCATGACAAAGCGAGGCGTTTCAGGTGGGTGGGGGGTGACGTCGCTCTTGGTGGGGGTGTGACGTGGCAAGTAGGGCGGGTTGTTGGCGGATGCAAAAGGGTGTGGCGTGGCGGCATGTGAGGGTTGGGCCTGACGTGGCAGTTTGGAATGGTACACAGGAGCGGCCACTGACGAGGCGATGCGTGTCAGGTGGGTGGGGGGGTGACGTGGCATGGGATGGGAGGGTGTGACGTGGCACGTGGGGCTGGTTGTTGGTAGACGTGGCGGATGCAGGAGGGTGTGACGTGGCACGTGGGGCTGGTTGGTGGACGTGGCGGATGCAGGAGGGTGTGACGTGGCGGAAGGTGAGGGTTGGGGATGACGTGGCGGATGCAGGTGGGTGTGACGTGGGGGAAGGTGAGGGTTGGGGATGACGTGGCACCCTACAAGGGTACACGTGAGCGGCGCATGACGAAGCGAGGCGTTTCAGGTGGGTGGGGGGTGACGTCGCTCTTGGTGGGGGTGTGACGTGGCAAGTAGGGCGGGTTGTTGGCGGATGCAAAAGGGTGTGACGTGGCAGCATGTGAGGGTTGGGGCTGACGTGGCGGTTTGGAATGGTACACAGGAGCGGCCACTGACGAGGCGACGCGTGTCAGGTGGGTGGGGGGGTGACGTGGCATGGGATGGGAGGGTGTGACGTGGCACGTGGGGCTGGTTGTTGGTGGACGTGGCGGATGCAGGAGGGTGTGATGTGGCACGTGGGGCTGGTTGGTGGACGTGGCGGATGCAGGAGGGTCTGACGTGGCGGAAGGTGAGGGTTGGGGATGACGTGGCGGATGCAGGTGGGTGTGACGTGGCAGCATGTGAGGGTTGGGGATGACGTGGCGGTTAGAAAAGGTACACGTGACAACTGCGCATGACGAAGCGAGGTGTGTCAGGTGGGTGGGGGGTGACGTGGCTTGTGGTAGGGAGGTGTGACGTGGCAGAATGGGCCGGGTTGTTGGTGGACGTGTCGGATGGCGCAGGGTGTGACGTGGCAAGTTCACACAGTGTTGCTAGTCACAATCCCATGGTCACGCGGCCACCCACATAACTGCTGGTTTCTCTCTCCCATGTCGTGTTGTATACCTTACACCACTGCGCAGAACAAAGCCTACTTAGTGTGCTCTCAGCTCATGTTTCTGAACCCGCCGGAGAAAATACAGTACTACCCTGCACCGGAGGAAGTGTTCGAAGCGTTCTCTATCCACTTGTCTGCAGAAGGGCTCGAGGCAATGAAGCTGCTGTGGTTGCACAATGACAAGTCAACCATGGGAGTCTTCAACCACCAGCTGTCCTCAACAAGGTCAACTATCAACTCCACCCTCAGGCCAGCAACATACACCGGCATGGGCCTTGCTGATTACAGCCATCTCGTGGATAGCCTGCCCACTGAGCTACACCCAACGACCTGGTTCGATGACGTTCAACTCCTAGCCGAGTACAGAGATGGTATGTGCAACTCGAAAACACAATATGCCCTACCATATGCCAGTTGGCAGCTACATATCACCGTGCGATGTGGCTCACCCTGACACTCATCCCCCCACTTGATTTCTCTACAAAACCCTTTCCAACCCATACCCTCCCTGCCAAAAAACAGAACAGTGGGCCCTCAACTGGCACTTTGACAAGGCCACCGGGACGCCCTTCAGCAACCCCTTGTTCGCTTATGCGTTCAAGATCTCCTTCAAGAGGGGCGGGGCGGTGTTCACCAAGTTCAAGAGCCGCATGGTGGCATGGGGCCTGTTTTCGGTAAGGATGTAGATATGTGTTTGTACCCCCATGCCTCATCCCCTTAACCCCTTGCCTGTACTTCAACCCTAATCCCTGGTCGATTAGGCCTTTGCAGTTACGTAGATAGTGACGACTGCATCACCGCTTTCAGTTGCCTCATTTACCCGTAACCTACCCTCCTCATAAACCACCCACCCAACCCTACTACACCACATTGCAGATCGAATGGCCCCTTCTGCAGGATAAGCGTCGCAAGCGAATCAGTAGCCAGCCAGAGCAGAACAGGCCAGACTACCAGGAGTGGTGCGAAAAGGTCAAACAGATGATCCATTTTGCTGTCGTGGAGCGGAGGATCCCCCACGATCCGACTATGGGTGCGTTCGTCTTTCCGAACAAGTTCCTCATCGACGACGGCGACCTTGGAGATGTCGTCCTTGCCCACCGGGCGCTTTCAAGGCCCGCCAATGCGTAGGCTATTTGACCTGGTGCTAAGACTGATTGTTGCTAGCATCTGAATAATGGTTCTTGTAAACCGCAATAATAAATGCAATTTTGAAATCCCCAAAATCCAAAATGAACAAAAACAGAATTTAGTATTGAATAAATTGGTCACGAATTTGCAACAAAACGGATTGCGTCGGAATGTCATCCGGAAAAGCTCGCGTGCCAAATTGGAACTTGAACCGAGCCAAGCCTTGTCGCGAGATGTGTCTCGGAGCTCCTATCAAATGACTCCAACCGCCGGTCCAAATTGGCTACGGATTTTTTTACGCGAAGACAATCGAAATCAAAATTCGACCAAACTTGGCATAGGGTTTTTGTGATGGGGCTGCCTTGTGCTTGTCTGCAACAGTTCTGCGGACAAGCTCTCGGCTCGCGCCATCCCCAGTGTCTTCCTTGGTTTCCCAATGGGCTCTCCCAACTACTCCTTTTACCACCCCCCCCCCCCCCCCCCACCAGTTCCTCGATTCTCGTGACGTCCGGTTTGAGGAGTCAGCGTCTTACTACACCCGGTACCCCTGTCGATGTCTCCCGGTTCACCCTCCCCCCCTCTTCCTCGCACCCTCTCCTCCCCCTACTCCCGCTCCTCCGGTACCCCCGCCACCCCCCCGTCCTACCCCGTCAGGTGTACAGTATCTCACGCTACCCCTTTCCCATCAGCCGTGCGTCAGGTAGCGTCTCCCTCCCCGCAGTCCTCCTCACAGTCCCCCTAGCAGCCTTAGGCACTTCCGCGACAGGTTATTGTTGACTCAGGTGGTGTTGGAGCTGGAGATGGTGCCACTGGAGGTCCTCGGACTGAGGGCGCTCGTTGGAGAGGTGTCGGAGCTGGAGTTGCTAGCTCCGGGCTTGCTGGAGCTGGAGGTGCTAGCTCTGGGGGTGTTTGAGCTGGAGGTGCTGGCACTGGAGGTGCTAGCTTTGGGGGTGTTGGAGCTGGAGGTGTAGGCACTGGAGGTGCTAGTTCTGGAGGTACTGGCGCTGGAGGTGCTAGTCCTGGGGATGATGGAGCTGGGGGTGCCGATGCTGGAGGTAGTGGTACTGAGGAGACGGGAGCTGGCGGCTCGCCCCCACCCCGCTACTACATACGTCTCCAAGCTCTTCACCTGTTGGAGCAGGAGAGGCAGCAGCTGCAACTGTTAGATCTGCAGGAGCAGCAACAGCAACAACAGCAGCCACCGCAGCCCGGGGTCCCACCAGTGAGTGGCCTTCGGGCCCTTGGTCTTCCCTCCCCTCCTCCTGTCCACCCACAGGCTTCGCCCGCGTACGGTGCTACGTTTCCTCCTCTGGACCCGTCTCCAGCTGTTTTCCCTCCTCCTCAGTCACTGTCACCTCCTCCTGTTGTCCTGAACGACTGGACTGCTCGTTGTCCCGTGCGTGCTCATCCCTCGTCTCATCTTGCCGACCTCCGCACTGTCTTGTTTCGTTCCAGTCCTCATCGTACTCCACCAGAGTCTGTTCTCTCGTCACCTCCTGCGTCGCCTCTCACTGTCTCCTCTCACCCTATGACTGACTACTACCGTACGGCTCGTCCTGTTGTCTCGCGTGTTCTCGCCTCTCTTGTCACCGACTCTCGTGCCTCTCCGTCGTCTGTCTCAGCTCTCACTGCCGATGTCAGTGACTTTGCGTCCACCCGCCGCCTTGACTTCACCACGCGTGTCGTGGCTGCCCCGCCTGCCCGTCCTGAGGCCGCCTGGGGGGGGGTTGCCCTTTGGTGTGACGTCCTCAAGGACAGACATTTTGAGCTGGAGTTCCAGGCAGCCGCTTCGCCCTCTCTCTGTGCCATGCTGCTTTCCCTAGAGGGAGACCCCGACGCCCTTGACATACTGACTCCTCGCACGTACCATGAGGCAGTATCAGGGGAGTGGGCCTCTTAGTGGAAAGCGGCCATGGACCCAGAGTTGGCATCTTGGAGATACACAGGCACCTACGCCGACGCAGTTCCCCCTCCCAGGGCAAAGATTGTCGATGGCATGTGGCTCTTCAAGGTGAAGCAGCCGCCTGGATCACCGCCTGTGTTCAAGGCGCATTACGTGGCTAGGGGCTTCAGTCAGCATGATAGAGTTGACTTCTTCCAGACCTTTGCCCCGACCCTGAAGATGACTGCTCTTCGGGTGTTACTGCACGTAGCAGCACAACGAGACTACGAGTTGCACTCTCTTGACTTCTCCACTGCTTTCCTCCAGGGCCGCTTACACGAGGAGATCTGGCTGTGCCGCCCTCCTGATTTCACTGAAACCTTCCCACCTGGGACCCAGTGGAGCTTGAGGCGACAAGTCTACGGTCTCCGCCAGTCACCCCGTGAGTGGCACGACACCCTGCGCTCCACGCTTCGTGACCTAGGGCTTCGTCCCTCCTCTACTGACCCGTCGCTGTTTGTTCGCACTAGCTCCACTCCCTTCTTTATCCTGGTCTACGTTGACGACTTGGTGTTTGCTACAGTTGACAGGGCAGCACCAGCGGAGGTGGAATCCGAACTGCATAAGAGACGCACGTACACCGACCTCGGCGAGCTGCAGCGCTACCTTGGCCTGCAGATCACTAGGGGCAGAGCCGCTCGCACCATCACACTGACTCAGTCACACATGGTGAGCAGGTCCTTTGGCGGTTCGGATTTCAATTCTTCACCACACATCCCACTCCTCTTGCTGTTGACCACCGTCTCACTGGCCCTTTTCCCGACGAGCCCTTTGAGTCTAGTGGTCCTTACGCAGAGCTTGTGGGAAGCCTCATGTACCTGATAACTTGTACTCGGCCAAACCTCGCCTTTCCCCTCAGCGTCCTCTTTCCGCTTTGTTGCAACTGGGAAACACCGTCCTGTTCACTGGACAGCTGCTGTGAGGGTGGCGAAGTACCTGGCGACTACATCAGGCATGGGGTTTGCGCTTGGAGAGACACAGCTAGTTGAGTTGACGGGTCATTGCGACTCTTCCTACGCTGACGACGCAGAGACCCAGCGTTCAACTCAAGGTTACTGTTTCCGTCTGGGTGCTGGTGCTGTGTCGTGGAGGTCCACACGGTCGTCGTCTATGGCTTCGTTCAGTGCAGATGCAAAGATCTACGCTGGTTTCATGGCGCCACAGGAGCTTCGCTGGTTGACCTTGGTGAGCGGCCTCGCTCTGCGCCGACCCTGTACACTAACAAAAAGGCCATGATCCTCGTGTGTCGAGAGCCTCGACTGGAGAGCAAAGTGGAGCATATTGACGTGAGGTACTTTCTCCTATGAGAGCTACAGCGATGCGACCAGGCATGCTTGGACTTTGTGGCCTCAGAGGCCAACACTACTGACGTCTTCACCAAGGTCTTGGTGCCTGGTGACCACCACAGGTTTTGCGTGCAGCTAGGGCTTGTTGAGGTAAGCCCTTGCTTGCTGTAGTGTTGCCCTTATATATATTGGTTCTTGAGACCCACCCTGAGCTTGCTTTGCTTCTTGCCTTGACTGGTCTCTTGATCGTTTGTTCACCCTGCTTGCTTAGATGCCCCTCATTTAGCCTATGGGGGTCAAATGCTATTATTTGTTATAGGCTAAAGTAAGGTGCTCTCTAGAGGGGATAACCCACTTAGGGTTTCCTATTTGTATCCAACTGCTGCCTAGTTCGTTCATTCCGTTGCATTCACTTTCCAAGAAGCCTGCATTTCAATATGAGGTGTAATACCGTGTTTGTTTGCCATCTAATCATGCTCTAGTTACGGAATTGTTGTGAGGCCTGAGGCTCTAAGATAATCGTCAAGCTGTAGAATCTCCTCATATGGTAATATAATCCTTTGCGAACTACAGCGGTAGCAGAGATAAGTTTTTGTTCAGCAGGGAGCCACTATTCATTTGCATGTTTTCAAGAAAATTCAAGAAAAATGTTCACTTAGCTTGAGACGGAATAAGACGCTAATTTTATAGCGTCAATTCGTTGGGTCAGTCAGCAATGACACATCCCGCTACGGTAGATTGAAGGCACGGTTGGTGTAGAGTGTCAAAAAGGCATGTTTAGGGTGCCAAGTCGAGATGAAAATTGGGCTTAGGTATTGAAGACCAAGAATATTTTCCCCTTCAAGTCGTTGAACAAATTGGGCAAGCTGGCTTGCAATGCAGGAGAGGCCAGGCAGGCCTGCACGTGATGGCTGCAAGAGCAGACGGTCGCGTTGGTGCTGGTAGAGATGTTGGGCCAAAAGAGGGAGGAACTTGGTTTTGGAAGTGTATCATGGTCCACGAGTGTTGTGAGGAGTGCAGTGAGGAGTGCAGTGGGGAGTGCAATGAGGAGTGTCGTTAGGAGTGCAGTGGGGAGTGCAGTGAGGAGTGCAATTAGGAGTGCAGTGAGGAGTGCAGTGAGGAGTGCAGTGAGGAGTGCAGTGAGGAGTGCAGTGAGGAGTGCAGTGAGGAGTGCAGTGAGGAGTGCAGTGAGGAGTACAGTGAGGAGTGAAGTGAGGAGTGCAGTGAGGAGTGCAGTGAGGAGTGCAGTGAGGAGTGCAGTGAGGAGTGCAGTGAGGAGTACACACTACAACGAGGGTGATGTGGACTTTGACAACAAGGACGCTTGTTGACTTGGCAAGGAAGAGTGCAAGGCGTTGGTGCGTGAGCGATACTGAGTCTGAGGGAGTGGTTACGGTGTGTGGGGTGGTGATGTTCACGCTATTCATGAGATTGCGCCCAAACTGGTTCGCAGAAGGGTGAAGCCAAGGATGTGGAGCGGCTTCTGGGGTCTGGGTGTCATAATGCAAGAGTGCAGAGAGGACTAGGGAGAACATGTTTGAGAGAGCAGCCAGGGACTTTGTTAAGTAGCAGTAAAAAAATACTGAAAACATCAAGCGTAGTGATTATCGATAGTTGCGTGGTTTATTATCTGCCGACCTGCTATAGGAGGAGGGTGAAAAGGTTAATTCATAACTTTGTCCTAGGGAATAAGGGAAATGTGGAGCAAGACATTACGCTGGGGAGTCACAAGCCGATGTACACAGCAAGGAAGCAAAGAGGGCTGTGGATGGTTAACCCCAAGGAACGAGTTGATAGCTGAGTGCTCCCAAGTGTGGGCCTAGCAATCAGGCAAAAATAAGGTGACTTTTGAGTCGACTCAACAGTCACCTAGTTGATAGCTTAGTGCTCCAAAGTGGGTCTGGCAATCAAGTAGAACTGCCCAGTGGCAACAGGGTTCTTGCACATTTGGGCCACTTTGTATGAGCACCCATTGATCCGGAAACATTGGGGTGGGGGGGGAGCAAGATGGAAGGAGTTGGCATCAAATGATAATGAAAACACTGTCGGCTCAAATGGAGAAACAAGCCATTACATTGTCCAACTAGCACAAAGGAAGTGGCACAAAACCAATCTCTATGTCTGGTGAATCACATGTGAGTGACTCTCTGCTCATGTGTTGCGTTGACTGCTTGCATCATGCGCCTGACAACCCCTTTCACCTGCACTCTCAAGTTCGAACATCCCTCCCATCCCTCTGACATGGGCCGGACATAGAGACTTATGACCCAGAACCGGCCTGAGTGAGTTCGGGTCATTTCCGGACGGCATGGGCAGGAGAGTGTGGATTGGAACGCGTCAGCGTGGGCTGGGACGGATCGGGACTGGTTGGGACGACCGGGACGGGTTGGAACGGGTTGAGATGGGTTGAGACGGGTCGGGACTGGTTGGGACGAGTCGGAACGGGTTGGAATGGGTCAGGATAGGTTATTAAGGGCCGGGCCTGGTTGGGACGGATGGGGTGGGAGGAGTGCTGGGTTGTTAGACCTGCAGCAGCACCTGCACCTACTTGGATGGACCTGACTCAGTGACACATGGTGCAGCGGTTCAAGACTCACCGATGTAAAGGGTGCCGTGCAGCCTATGTTATTAATGAGCTGCACCTGTAGGATGGTGTTGGGTTGCCTGCACCTACACCTGCTCGGATGGACCTGACTCGGTCACACATGGTGCAGCGGTTCAAGACTCACCGATTCAAACATGCGGTGCAGCCTATGTTCATTATAAGCTCATGGATGCGTCAACGTTCGAATGCCTGTGAGCGTCCATGGCCGCATCACATAGGGTGCAACACCCCGTCCCTCCAGAGTTCAAATGCCTATGCTGAAAATTGGAATAGCCATTGCTCCACAGCCTTGCACGAATGGAGGAGAGAGAGGCACAGCCGGGCTCACTGATTCAAGTATCCGTTACAGCACGCCGTCCCTCTGCCGCACCTGCACCTTGCGGTGCATGTTGTCCTATCTGCAGTGAGTTAGAACCTCCTCTCACCGGCAATCGTTAGAGACTCACCAATTCGCATATGCGGTGCAATGCAACAGACACTTCACAATGTGGGGGTTGAAGCGCCCTACCACAGGCAGTACAGAGATCAAAGCCCACTCACTCTAGGCAGGCAAGATAGCTGTAGCACGCCGCCACTATGGGGAAGGCCTATGGCAAGGGGGGAGATAAGGGGGAGAGAACAGAGGGAAGAGAGGGGAAACCAAGAGAGGGGGGATGAGAAGGAAGGAGGAAAGGCTGATGAGGGAGGGGGGGAGGGAAAACAAGACGGGGCTTGGAGTGAGGTGAGAGAGGGATGAAGCGAAGTGGGGTTACAAGCAGAAGGTGGAGCGCAACCAGGGCGGGGCAACACGGGCGGGTAGCTGTAGCAGGCAGCACAGAGGCCAAAGCCCGCTCGCTCCGGGCAGTCAAGGCAGCTGTAGCGCGCCCCCACTATGGGGAAGGCCTGGTGGGGGTAGAGAGAAGGGAGGGGAAGAAACTGATGTGTGGCCCCACATACAGTGCAACAGCTGCACTCCTGACACCTGTAGCGCGGCCCCACTATGGGGAAGGCCTGGTGGGGGTAGAGAGAAGGGAAGGGAGGGAAGTGATGCGTAATCCCACACACACTGCAAAAGCTGCAGTCCAGACATCTGTAGCACGCCCCCACTATGGGAAGGCCTGGTGGGGGTAGAGAGAAGGGGGTGGGGAAAGGGGGCAGAGAGAGATGAAATCAAGAGAGGAGGATAGAGAAGGTAGGGTAGGAAAAACACAGGGTTAGGGGACGAGACGGGCGGAACAAGGAAGGTCTTGGAGTGAGGTGAGAGAGCGCAGATGAGGGGGAAAGTCTGGAAAGGGAGAGAGGGGGGCTGCGCAGAGGGGCTGCGCAGTGGAGGATATGGCTGGACATACGCCTAAGGGACGTGGGTGGTGAGCACTCCTAAATCTGGGAGATGAAACGGACGAATCTTATACAACCCTGATTGAGGGGGTTTCTGAGTCTACCTCCAACACAGAAGGGGGCCCAAAAGGAGCTCGCCCTCAACACAGATCTGAAGTCGCACCCCGCAATTCCAAATCACCCCAAACCTGACCACCCTGGAGGCCACCCTGGTGTCTGGTCGGCCTCAACTCAGAGGAGACACTGCTCGCCTTTTGCTCTCGCCACCCGTCCTCCTCCCTGCCGCTCCCAGACTGGGTGGCGAGGCATGCAGCTGGTACACCACCAACCATCTCCCTGAAGCAGAATAAGGCAGGCCCGTCAGGAACCACATTTGAGCACATTCGTGACTCTGCCCTCACAAAAGACTGCCTCTCTAAGACAACGCTCTAAGTTCACAGTTAACCGGGATTTTCCAATCATTCCACGGGGTTTGTCTCGTCGATTTATTAACCACACGAGTTGATGGAAGTAAGACCTCCGCAGCCCACCTGTCTGCTACTGACAGCTCCTGAAACAGAATAGGGCAGGCCCGTCAGGAACCACATTTGAGCACATTCGTGACTCTGCCCTCACAAAAGCGGACGTCCTCACCCATCTTCACTCAACACTAACCTACCTGGGCGTCTCTCCCGCAGGCTGTCGGTCTTCCTAACCGCCTCGTACCTGCTAGCGCTCACAAAGCTTGGAGGTGGCACCCGGCCTACGGCTGTCTGTCCATCCGAGCTTGGATGAGGTAGATGCCCATCCAAACCCATCCAAACCAGCTCGTTCTCCAGGTGGATCTGGCAAACGCATTCAACGCCATTGAGCGAGCAGCTGCGTTCAAGGGGCGTCACACCTCTGGAGTGCCTGTTCCGCTTCACTCGGCTATCCTACAGCCAACCGAGTGTTCTGGTCGTCAATCACAGACTCGAAAAAGACCCGCTCTGGGTCGCCACACTGCTGCTAAGTTCGAGGCTTGGTGCTCGTGGCCGTTGGCGGCAGGCCGCCTACTTGCAAACTCCCCTCCTCCCTCCCCCACCCCTCAGTCCCCAGAAGTCTCCCAAGTCTTCGTGGAGGAAGATCCTCGTGGGAGGAACAATTTTTCAGAACCGGAGGGTTGGGGGGAGAGGGGGGAAAGCAAGGGGATTGGCTCAAAACCAAGTGGCTTGGTGCTTTTGAATCGACTCAAAAGTCAGCTTGGGTGGGGGGGAGGGGGGGAAGCTATCAAGGGGGTTGGCTGAAAACCAAGTGGCTTGGTGCTCAGAGCCGGTGGCGGCAGGCTGCCGAGAACACGCTCTGTGCAGCCTGAAGCAGTCTGCCCCGCCTTCATTTGCGAGCGCGCAAACACGGCACCAGTGCTTCAGCAGGCGAGATCCCTCCTGCTGCCTCTCCAGGTCCACATGGATCCCCCCGCATCCTATCTACCAGGTCCTGCTGCTCACCCGGTGTGTCAGCAGAGAAGCTTCCTATCTGCTATGCCCCACACCCTGGGTTGCCTTTCGGTGGGGGACTGGTCCGCCAATTGGGGAGCGTTTGCTCCAAACGGCGCTTGGCGCCTGCCACCTTCACGCCCTCAGAGGAACCAGGGCAGAGAAGGCCCACCCGAATGGTCTCGCCACTCTGGAGGACATGCTACCCTTCCCTTCAGCTGACCTCGCCATTGCTCTTGCTTTCTTTCTCGCCATCACTTCCCAACCCGCTCTCTTCTCCGCCACGGTAACCTTTTGGCTCGGCCTCGCCCGTACCCGATCCCCCAAACCTGTGACTGCCGCGACAAAAACCAATTCAGGCGGGGTTTATCGCCCACAAGGAGACTAACCGGTTTACCTCGGTTGTTAACAAGTTGGCTGATCCGTCTATCCGGCACTCGTAATATGCTTTGCGACAACTCAGATGTGGAATCAGTCGACTCAAAAGCAGTGTGGCTCTGTGACGCCACCAGGTGCCGATCTGCCGTGACCAAACCAACTTTGGCGGGGGTTATCGCCCACAAGGAGACAAACGAGTCTACCTCGGTGGTCAACAAGTTCACTGATTCTTCTATCCGGCACTCGGAACCTGCTTTGCGACAACTCAGATGCGGAGTCGGTTCCTTTTTACCATCTCTTCCCCTACCGCACTGCCCCACTCCCCCTCTCGCCGCTCTTCTTCACTCCAAGTCCCCCTCCGGTAGACCGCGTGCCCCCTCAGGGTCCTGCTCCTTCAGGTGTGTCTCAGGTAGACCCACTCCCCTTGGTTGAGCCTGTCAAGGTTACTGGTGACTCTGGTGCTGCTCGGGGTGCTGCATATGGGGGTGCTGAGCCTGCGGTTGCGAAGCCTGAGCGTGCGGAGCCTAGAGGTGCTCAGCCTGCGAGTGCGGAGCCCGGGGTTGTTGAGCCTGGGCGTGTGGGGCTTGGGGGTGCTGAGCATGCGGGTTTGGAGCTTGGGGGTGCTGCCTAAGCGTGCAGAGCTTGGGGGTGCTGAGCATGCGGGTGTGGAGCCTGGGGGTGCTGAGTCTGCGGGTGCTGAGCCTAGGGGTACTGCGTCTACACTATAGGAGCCTCTCTCACCACAGCAACTGCGCAAGTGGTACACTCAGCGCACACACCTCCGGAGTGGCGCTGCTAGAGCTAGAGGCCCTGCAGCTGCTAGTTCTGGAGGTGCTAGAGGTACTACTCGTACTAGAGGTACTAGGGGTGCTGGAGCTACCAGTCCTAGAGGTCCTGCAGGTGCCTCGCCCCAGTGGTCTAGCCAGCGGGAGCCTCTCTCACCACAGCAGCTGCGCGAGTGGTACGCTTGGCGCACCCGCCTCCGGTGTCGCGCTGCTGGAGCTGGAGGCCCTGCCGCTGGAGGTGCTGGCGCTGGAGGCACTGGTGCTGCTGGTGCTGGAGGTGCTGGTGATGCTGGCACTACTGGTCCCGGGGGTGCTCGTGCTGGAGGTGCTAGAGCTGCCGGAGCTCGTGGTGTTGTGGGCTCTAGAGCTGGAGGCACTGGAGCTGGAGGTACTGCAGGTGCTGGAGCTGCTGGTCCTGGAGTTGCTCGTACTGGAGGCGCTGGAGCTGCCGGAGCTGGTGGTGCTGCTGGTGCTGGAGGTGCTGGAGGCACTAGAGGTGCTGGAGCTGCTGGTTCTAGAGGTGCTCGTGCTGGGGGTTCTCGAGCTGCCGAAGCTAGTGGTGATGTTGGTGCTGGAGGTGCTGGGGGTACTGGAGCTGCTGGAGCTGGTGGTGCTGCTGCTTCTGGAGGTGCTGGAGGTGCTAGAGCTGCTGGTCCCGGAGGTGCTCGTACTGGAGGTACTGGAGCTGTTGGAGCTGGTGGTGTTGCAGGTGCTGGAGCTGGAGACCCTGGAGCTGTTGGAGCTGGTGGTGTTGCAGGTGCTGGATCTGGAGACCCTGGAGCTGGGGGTGCTGGCGCTTGGGATGCTGGAGCTGTCAATACTGGTGCTGGAGGCACAATGCATCGGCGACTGTTTTTCGTTCCGCCGTTGCCGTCATCTCTGTCGCCACCTGGCTCGACACTTTCCTAGGTTCTTAGTCTCCCGTCTTCTACTGGCCGTACTCCTCCCATGCTGTGTCCACCGCCTGACTAGTCGCAGCCACAGTTACAGCCAGACTCCCCACTGCCTGCCCCTTTTCTTTACACTAAGCAGACTGACTCCCTTACAGAGCGTCGTGAGCCTGCGTCTCATCCTGCGTCGCCTGTTCGCGCTGTTCGCACTCGTAGGCGTCCTCCTCCTATTCCTGGCACTCACACTATGGCACTTCATCCTTCCTCTATTTCACTTTGAGTTCCCCTGCTGTCTCCTCCTGTGTCCTCTCTTCCTGACTTAGTTCGTGCTGCCAGTCCTACTGTCACCCATCTCCTAGCCACTGTTGTCACCAACCCTTCGTTTGACTCATTGCTGCCTCTGCCCTTGTTGCTGAGCTTGTCGACTTTGTTGCTAGCTGTCGTCTCGACTAAGGGACCCGTAATCGCCTTTACGTAAGGGTGCGGAGTCATAACCGCACTCTCTTGACTTCAGCACAGCTTTCATACAGGGCAGCCTCCACGAGGAGACCTGGCTGCGCCGCCCACCTGGCTTCACTGGGTCTTTTCCTGCAGGTACCCAGTAGAGCGTCCAGCGGCCAGTCTACTATCTTTGCCAGGCGCCTCATGAGTGGCACGACACACTGAGGACTACACTTGCCGGTCTTGGGTTCGCTCCTTCGACTGCTGACCCGTGGCTGTTTCTGCGCACCGACACTTTGCTGCCGCCGTTCTACATCCTCGTGTACGTCGACGACTTGGTTTTTGCCACTGTTGACACTGAGGCTCTGACTCTAGTGAAGTCGGAGCTGCGGAAGAGACACACGTGCACAGACCTAGATGAGCTGCACAGCTATCTTGGCTTGCAAATCACCCGGGACAGAGCACGGCGCACCATCACCCTGACTCAGTCACACATGGTGCACCAGGTCCTTCAGCGCTTCGGCTTCACTTGGTCCTCGCCACAATCCACTCCTCTTGCTACCGGTCATTCGCTCGCAACTCCACCTCTGGACGAGTCCCTAGAGCTGAGTGGCCCGTATCCAGAGCCTGTGGGCTGCCTCATGTACCTGATGACCTACACTCGACCTGACCTTGCTTACCCTCTCAGCATCCTGGCATGCTACGTTGCGCCCATGAGACACCGACCAGAGTAGTGGGAGGCCGTTAAGAGGGTGTTACGCTACTTGTGCAGTATGTCGGGCATGGGGCTCGTGCTTGGAGGACGGAGTCGAGTTGTTCTCACTAGCCACGTAGACGCGTCTTGGGTTGACAATTTGGCCACGCAGCAGTCGTCACAGGGTTACACTTTCAGCCTTGGCTCCGGTTCTGTTTCTAAGCGGTCTACCCGCTCGTCTTCTATTCTCCATTCCAGTTGTGAAATAGAGATCTACATAGGGGCCATGGCTGCACAGGAGTTACGCTGGCTCACCTACCTGCTGACCAACTTGGGAGAGCGGCCTAGTTCACCTCCAGTTCTGTACGTATACACCAAGGCTATGCTTGCCTTGTGTCACGAGCACAGACTGGAGCACAGGACAAAGCACATCACTTTGCATTACGTAGTTGCTCGAGAGTTGCAGCAGTGTGGTCAGCTTCGTCTTGCTTACGTGGCCACTCGGGCCAACAGTACTGATATATTCACCAAGGCACTTCAGCCCCGTGATCATCAGAGTTTCTGTACAATTTTTGGCCTTGTGCCTACTTTTCCTCACTTGCTCACTTCGTGACTTTGCTTGTACTGTGATCTATATACTTGTACCTGCATGCTTACACTTGCTAGGTTGTGATCACTGTACTACTTGTTCCTATTTATATAACTCTGCATGTGAACTGGCCTTGTGGCCATTTGCTTGTGCTCAGAGTGTGTGGTGACTTTGTGATCCACCCTGAGCTTGCTTTGATTTTCTTGACTGGTCTTGGGAAACAATGTTGTCACGTTGCTGGTGTCTATTATGCACCGAATGCTCACGAGAAAAGAAGTCTTTCCAGATAGGAAGCTAATGTCTTGGTGATACGCCATCTGCAAAACCTTGCGGTGAAGGCAACGAATTGCAAGGAAACAAATCGTGTGATGGCGAGAAGGCATGAGGGAAACCTGGATGCCAACAAATAAAACGGCGGCAATAAAAAACATAGCGATGCCATGAAGCAAGCAAAATGAGTGACGCTCATCCTGAAACCCCATTGTACAGCATTTCAACTCACCTTACGACGAGCGCCAATTCTTAGGTCGATTCTCGGCCTTGCGTCTGATGCACCTAAACAAAAGCTTCAGATTTTGTGGGTCCTAAGCTTGGTGTCTGAGGAACATAGGCAGATGGGCCGCAACGGCGCAGCCAAGAGTGGAGGTACCGGTGCGCTTCACGGGGAATGAAGGGACTGGCCCGGGCCTGAAGAACTACTTGATGCAGATCAGCAATGTTAAGTACAAGTGTGACCGGAGCGGTATGGACCCTATCGAGTTCTTCTTAAGCCTGCCAAACACACAGGGAGGGGAGGCGGAGACACTGTACCGCATGAAAATTGGAGAATGGTTGAGAATGGCAGAGGAGGATGGCGAGGACCCAACAGTACTGTTCCTGGATCGGCTGAGGAAGCAGTTTCCAGGGCACACGGCCCAGCGCATTAGGGAGTTTCAGGAGTTCAGGCGTCGAGATGAGGAATCGCTTCTAACATACTACGGGCGGTTGATGAACCTAGCAGAGGACGTGGTGTGCACTGACAGCAGTATGATCATTAGCAAATTCTTGAACGGCTTAGATAAGGGGCTGGCAGGAGGCTTGAGGATGCGAGCATACGAGCTAGGGGCTGAGGCGACACCTGAAGAGGTGTTTGAGCTAGCAGAGAGAGTGGAGTTGGCACAGCGGAAGTACGAGGTGTACCTACCGAAGCCGACTAAGAAGAGGAACCCCTCTTGGGCAGCAGCAGCAGTGCCGGAGATGGGGGGAAGGGAGGAGGGCCGAGCGGAGAGAGGAGCTGAGACGCGCACCAGTCACCAATGCAAGCAGCTGGGGCATCCGATGAGGAATTGTAGGAACTGTGACACCTGCGGGAAGCCGGGACACCGCCGCAAGGACTGCCCGGATGCACCAACATGCGAAGTCTGTGGGAAGCAGGGGCACAAAGGAAAGGACTGTTACCAACGCACATGGGGGGCCGAGGAGGACTCCAGAAGACATAGAGGGTCAGATAGGCAGGCTACAGGCGCAGCTACAGGCAATGGGTGGGAAAAAGGAGAAGGAGGCAGGGTTATATGCCAGGGAAGATGATGACGAAGCAGAAGCAACAGAGGAACCAGAGCCGGAATACAATTTCATGGTGCTCCGCAGCAGAGAGGAGCTGGGTCTGCGTAGCGGGGGCAGGGATGGGAGAAAGGACCACATGGCCAAGGAAAGGGGCAGACCAAAACAAAGGCCAGGGGAGAAGGGTGAGGAAGGAGAAGAGCCAGCTAGGCATCCCAAGGATCGGCTAGCTAGCCAGGCAACCGTGCTAGTGGCAGAGGCAGGAACGGTGGCAGTAGGTGGAGAGATAGCAAAGACAGCAATCTTGGACACGGGAGCGCAGAGCGTGATGCTGGGGAAAAGGCTAGCACGGAAGCTGGGGCTGACTGAAGCAGGGCAATACATAAAGCGAGGAATGCAGGTAATGACCGCGGAAGGAGGCGAGCCCAAGTGGCTGCCATGTACAACGGACCTAGTGGAAATATTCCTAATGCCGGGGAGAGAGGAGCAGACTAGTATACGGCTACAATGCGGGATATCAGACTCAGAAGATTTCGACGTGCTGCTGGGGACAGACCTGATCTGGGGCGTGGGGATGACCATCTGCACCTGGAAGGAGAAAGTGAAGTTTTGAAAGCAGTATTGGGTGCGGGGGAGCAAGACGGGTGAGCTGCCTGTGCAATTCACTAAACAGGAGCCAAAAAGAGTGTACACGGCTGAGCAAGCGGGAAGTGAGGGAAGAGGGAGAGCGGGCCTAGTGGGTGAAGCAACGATAGCTAATGCATGGCAGGAACCAATCAGGCTGGTGGAGCTGTTCGGAGGAATAGGAGCGGGGCTGGCAGCGGTGCTCAGAGCGGGAGTAGCGGTGAAGGAGTGGATATATGTGGAAAAAGACGGACAAGTGAGAAAGATGGCTGAACAACATGCAAAGAGACTGCAGAAGGAGCATCCTGAACTACTGGAGGAAGCAGTGATAAGCAAAGCAATGGCAGGGACGTTGACCGATGTGAGGGACGTGACACGAGAAGTGGTGAGGGGCTGGGGGCACGTGGATCTGCTGGTAGCAGGGTGGGAGTGCCAAGCCATCTCAAGAGCGGGGAAGGGAAAGGGGTTGGACGATCCAAGGGGAGCACTGCTAATTAATCTGCTGTGCATCATTGACTGGATCAGAGAAAGACAGGAGAAGGTGGTGTACTTACTGGAGCACCTGGACATGGAGGGGGATTGCCGGGAACCAGTCAGAAAGATCAGAGAGTTAGTGACACGGAAGCTGGGGAAGGGGGTAAGGTGTGACGCGGCCAGGCTGGGGGCACGGGCTCACCGTGTCAGAAGGTATTGGCAGAATGTCGTGACGGAAGAGCAACTGCAGAAGGAGCTAGATGGGATACGAAGGGACTGGAGCAAGACGGTGCAAGAGATATTAGAGCCAGGCAGGACAGCGGCGCCAGTGAAGAAGGGCAGGCACGAGACACAGTGCCCATGCAACAAGGTGGGGGCAGTACGCAGGGCCTGGCCGACATTGGTGGGGTACAAGGGGGCAGCAGGGTTTAGGAAGGAAGGAGGAGTGCCAGGGGAAGGCATGGTGTACGATCATAGGACGAAGAAGTGGGAGGAACCAACAGCACTGGAGCGGGAGCTGGCGATGGGGTATGGGGAGGGGTGACGGTGAAGAAACCGCGAAGGGAGGAGGAAGGGGTGAAAAAGGTGGGGGCATGGGCGTGTATGGCAGTTCAGGAAGAGCCAGCGTGGGTTGTGGGAAATGCAATGAGTGAGCAAGGGAAGAAGGCAATGCAGGAGGTGCTGGCCAGGTATAGGCATGCCTTTGCGTTTACCTTACAGGAGTTAGGAAAGTGCTCAGTGAAAGAGATGGAGTTGAAGCTGGTCACGGACGAGCCGGTGTTTCAAAGGAAGCGGAGAATGACACCCGGGGATGAGGACATCTGCAGGGAAAAATGCAAGGAGTTGCTAGATGCAGGACTGATACAGAGATCAGAATCGGAGTACGCAACACCGACAGTGGTAGCCGCACGAAAGGACCTGCTGGGAGAGGTGCTGAGCCGGCGTATGTGTGGGGATTACCAAGCACTGAACAAGGTGACAGTGCCCGACAGGTACCCAATGCCGACAGCGGAGGACATTTTCGACCGACTGGGAGCAGGGGAGATCTTTAGCACGCTAGATTTGAGACAGGGCTTTAACCAGATTAAGATCAAGGAGGACGTGCGTAAAACAGCATTCCATGGTGCAGACGGGCTGTACGAATGGCTGTTTATGCCATTCGGGCTGAGGAACGCGTCAGCCATCTTCCAAAGGGTAATGGACAGTGTACTGAGGGGGCTGGAGTGTGCAGCATGTTACATAGATGACGTAGTGATATTCAGCAACAGTGAGGAGGAGCACGTGCGAGACGTGGAGCGGACGCTGAAGGCGCTGGCGGCAGCAGGGCTGACCTGCCACCCAAAGAAATGCAGGTGGGGGGAAGCGACAGTGCAGTACCTGGGATATGAGGTCAGGGGCGGACAGATAGGGATTCAGCAGGCGAAGGTCGAGGTGTTGAATAGGCTGCAGCAGCCGAAGGACAGAAGTAGACTGAGAGCGGTGCTGGGTTTTCCGAGTTACTACCGAAGGTTCGTCCCTAATTTTAGCAAGCGTGCATCACTGCTGAATGGGCTGCTGAGAGAGGACAAAAGGTGGGAATGGGGGACAGAACAGGAAGCAGCTTTGAGAGACCTGATGGAGGCAGTACAGACAGCAACGATTCTGCAGCTGCCCAGGGCCGACAAGCCCTTCTGCTTGTACACTGACTGGAGCAGCCAGGGTATGGGGGCAATCCTGTGCCAAGAACTGGACGGAGAGGAGAGGGTAGTAGCGTACGCAAGCAGAAGCTGTAACCCAGCAGAGGCCAAGTACAGCTCTTATCACGGTGAGGGGCTGGCTGCAGTATGGGCTGTGAAGCACTTCAGAGTGTAGCTGCAAGGGAGGGAATTCACACTGATCACAGATCATCAGCCGCTGCAGTGGCTGATGACTCACCAGGGGCTGACGGGGAGAAACGCGCGCTGGGCCATGACTCTGCAGGAATACGATTTCAAGATACGCCACAGGCCGGGGAAGACACTGCAGCATGTGGACAGGCTCTCGAGGAACCCGCCAGCAGCAGAGCCAGTGCACGCGCTGATGCTGCTCGCTAGGCAAGGGGAGGAGGCAGCAGCAGAAAAGCAAGGAAGGAGGGGTCCACAGGATATATGGGAGGATCCCACAGACCTGCGGTGGATTAAAGGGGAAACAGAGGAGAACGAACAGGTGACAGACAGGGTCAGAGCACGAGGGCACCACTACAGATGGTACCAGGGACAGTTGCAGCTGCAGTCAGTGGATGGGTGGAAGCTGGTGCCTGCGCCGCAAGAGAGGGAAGGGGTAATAGAGGAGGTGCATAGGAAGCTGGGCCACTTCGGGCATGAGCGCACAACTCAGCTGCTCAAGACCGGCTGGTGGTGGGAAGGGATGAGGAAGCAAGTCAGAGAGTGGGTCAGTGGTTGTGAAGGCTGCCAGAGAAGCAAGGCCAGCTTGACCCAGGCGAAGCAGGAGCTGCAATCACTGCCAATCCGAGGGTTGGGGTTTCGGTGGTCTCTGGACATAGCCGGCGAGCTGCCGCTGAGCAGGGGAGGACAGCGGTACATCCTACTCATGGTGGAGCATGCAAGCAAGTGGTTAGAAGTGTGTGCGTTGCCGAGCAAGGATTCCAGACATGTGGCGAAGGCATTCAAGGGACAGGTGCTGTGCAGATTCGGGGCACCAGGGGAGGTACTCACCGATCAGGGCACGGAATTCAAGGGGGGGTTCCAGGCGCTACTGGACGAGGCAAGGGTGACACACAGGCAGACATCAAGGTACCATCCTCAGAGTGATGGGTTGACCGAGCGGCTGGTGCAGACCTTGAAGCGGAACCTGAGGGCGTACGGAGAGAAGCAGAAGAGGGACTGGGATGAAGAACTAGACTGGGTGGCGGCAGGGTACAGGTTCGGGAAGCAGGCGTCACTAAAGGACTACTCCCCGTACAGCCTGCTATATGGAAAGGAACCAATACTGCCTGTGGGAGCACCAAGGGTACTGACGGGGGTGGTGAGTGTGAAGGGAGTGGAACAGTGGGTGGCGCTGGCAGAAGCACGAGCAAGATAAATGCGGGAAATGCTCCCGGCTGCCTTGGAGAACTTGCACACGGCGCAGCTGAGAGATGCCCACAGATACGAGCAGCGGCAGCAGCAAGGAGGCAGGAAAGCGAAGCCAGCAGTGACAGAAGGACAGGAAGTCTACCTGCGCAGAGCAAAGAAAGACACGCTGGACGTGGGGTTGGGAACAGAGAGGTGGAAGGTTAAAGAGGTGAGAGGGTCAGGGGTGCTGGTTTTGGAAAATGAGAGAGGAGAGCAGACAGTGGATCACCAGATGAACACGGCGGCAGTGAAGGAGAGACGGCCTCAGCAAGAGGGTCCTGTGACACGTGCACGGGCAGCCCGAGCACGAGCACAGGAGGGGGCAGGGAGTGGCTGAGGAAGGGATGACTATGCAAGGACAGAAGGAGGAAAAGGGGACTGAGCGCAATGAGGCAGGAACAAGGGGAGCGAGCAGAGTAATGCAGGAACAGGGCGAGGGTGAAAAGCAGTAAGGGAAGGGACTCCGACATCTGCTGTACGCGTCTTTAGACTCGACAAGAGCTGAGTTTTGAAATACGCACATGTTTCACACTAGCTATGTTTTGCAAGTGCTTATGTAAGCAAAATAAAAGGTTCATGTTACAAGCCTGTAGAAAGAATGGAAGTTGACTAGAAAACACATAACATCAAAGGTGCTCTAAAAGTCTATATGTCTTAACAATCTTGTATTGTGTCGTACTCCTGACACACATACACACACTCACACACATACACACACACACATCAGTTGCCCCATCAGTGAGAAGTTGGCACATCAGCATTTCATAGTATGATCTCTTTTCGTTTTATTTCGCCTAACTCGTTGCAGCACACACTCACATTGGACCGACGTTTTTCCCATATGGAGGTGCATCATCACCCTCTACAATTATGAGGCAGCTTAGAGATTATTCACACTCTTGTAAGGGCACAGACCCATATAATGAGTGTCATAAAGGCGAAACACCCATTTATTCACAGCTCAGACCACGTCTTATAAAGGTGAATCATCCTGTTATCCTGAGGCCTGCTCTCCAATCTTCATAATTTCCGTGTCGAGGCTTGCGACACCGGCGACAACATCCTTCATCTCCTGCACCTGCGCATCCACCTTGACTGCAGCACACAGCACCTCTTTCCCCCCCACTGCCTCGCGAATGGCCTGCAGCTCGTTGGCAACCTGCACCATGCTTGGGCGGTCTGCAGTGCGCTCTCCAGTGCAGGCGAGGGAGATCTGAGCCACTCGCAGCACAGCTTCAGCAGGGGCGTCCATGGTGGGGTCCATGAGGCTCCCCACGTCATTCTTGGACAGGCACTCCGCCACCTGAGGGGGTTGAGAAGATTGAGGGTGGGAGAAGGTGGAGAGTTTGGGGAGGGTGGAGGGTTTGCAGGGTGTGGAGGGAGTGTTGAAAGGTGGAGCAGGTGGAGGGATTGGGAGGGGACATATATGGTATTCAAGAAGCTGGAAATATTTCCTTTGGAGAATATGCTATTTGAGTCTTTGGAAGTACCGGCAAGTGGTGCTCACCCACAGAGTGATCTGACGTCCCTGTGAGGACCACTAGTGTAAAATGGACGAGGAAAGAAAGGAAGTACCACAACCACACATGTGGTAGTGGCGGAAGGTGGTTTCATGGGTTGAGGTAATTACATACGCGGTGGTCCCATGGGATAAGCACTTACCCACGGAGTGATCTTCCAGCTCTCTCCAGCAGTTTCCGAGATTGGCTCTCGTCCCGTGAGGACCACCAACATGAGCACTCCAAAGCTGAAAAAAAAGCGGACATGTTCAAAGGCACAGAATGTTCAGGGCACAAGATGGCAGAGGAAGAGAAGAGGGGAGAGGCACATGCTTTTCAGATAAGTTTTATTTCCTGACCGCAACATGTACAGGTCCATATATCACACACACATAAGATTTGGGGCGGGTCTTATTGGGTGCTGACTCCTACTACAATGCATTTCTAGTTTCTCCTTTACTGAATACTATGCACTTCCAGCAAGGACTTTTGTACGCATCACTGCTTCACATGTACACCTCACTGGCCCACCTGCACACATCGCTGGCAGTGGTGCCTTGGAGTAGACTGGATCCCCATAGGGCCTTTGCAATGATCACCTCTACACCTCACTGGCCCACCTGCACACATCACTGGCAGCGGTGCCTTGGAGTAGACTGGATCCCCATAGGGCCTTTGCAATGATCACCTCTACACCTCACTGGCCCACCTGCACACATCGCTGGCAGCGGTGCCTTGGAGTAGACTGAATCCCCATAGGGCCTTTGCAATGATCACCTCTACACCTCACTGGCCCACCTGTACACATCACTGCCTCACCTGTACACATCGCTGGCTGCAGTGGCCTTGGACGTGATGGAGTAGACCGGATCCACAAAGCCCGGTGTGCCCATGATGCGCGTTGTGCCCACGGTTGTGCCCTCCCCCATCCTCAGCAGACCAAAGTCGGCAATCTTCGCCTGGTGGCGGCATTGTAGCATGAGGAATTAATCACTCAGTGAGAACTCTGGTCGCTTGTGGTGCCATCCACAAAAGAGCATGAAATGTAAGTAAAAGGGTTTGTGAGTGGGCTGAGTAAATGGTTGCTGTGAGAAACAATATATGAAGTTGAAAGACATTCCAGCCATAGTTGGTGTAGTGTTGTGGCAATGACCCCTTGTTCAAACTTATATATATATATATATATGTATGTGTATATATATATATATATCATCTTCACTAGACAGGATCCACTACGACGACCAAGCTTGCCTGCATGCTGTTGGTGATGAGGACGTTGGCAGGCTTGATGTCCCGATGCACGATGCCAAAGCCGTGGAGGTATTCGAAGCCCCGTGCCATGCCGATGAGAATGTCCAGCCGCTGCTTCAGAGTCAGAGGGCAGGATGCCTCTGCAAGAAACACGTGGCAGGGGATGAGTGGAAAAGGATGAATGGTAAAGGACGAATGGCACAGCATATGATTGGCACAACATATAATGGCACAGCATATGATTGGCACAACATATAATGGCACAGCATATGATTGGCACAACATATAATGGCACAGCATATGATTGGCACAGCATATGATTGGCACAGCATGAGTGGCAGAGGATGAATTGCAGAAGATGAATGACAGGGGACGAGTGGCAGCAGACAAGTGGCAGAGGATGTGTAGAGGATGAGTGATAGAGGAAGGGTGGTAGAGGATGGGTGGTAAAGCGTGAGTGGCAGAGCATGAATGACAAAGCACAGGTTGCCTCTGCAAGGATTTGCAGCATAAAGTGGCACATCATATAATTGCACGGCATATTTATGACACAACATCTGCGCGGCACAACACGCCATCTGCGTGGCACAGCAAAAAACACGCTGGAGGAGTATCACGCATACTTGGACCAATCCATATGTGAAGGTCGCCATTGGGCACATATTCATAGATCAGAACTTGCTCTGGCCGAGTCCTCAAGTCTCCTCCGATCGCGAATCCAAGGAGCTTCACAATGTTGGGATGGTTCTTGTCGGCCATCTGCTGGATCTGATCCACACAGCCAGAGGAAAAGAAACAAATATGATCAGGGATGACAAAACAAATGGAGAAGCAGCCAAGGGAATGTCCTAAATTTACCAGCATTGAAGACACGATCTATAATTAGTTGAACAGCAAAAGACATCATGGCAATGTAACATTTCAATAGAGCATATAAATCTTGACGTGGGATTGAAAATGATGTCACTGACACCTGCCATCTTATCACGGCTCACCATGGTTCACCATGGCTCACTGACAAAACATACCACTGAAATAAAATTTGCAACCTTCACATGTGCACCTCACTCACTGACCTCTTTCTGAAAGTCCACGTCGATCAGCTTGGCGCGCTTGACAGCCCACATGGTAATGCCATCGCGGGGAGACACACCCTTGTACACATCGCCAAAGGCACCTGAGCCCAGCTGGTTGTCCTTGGACCAGTCATTGGTGGCCTTGAGGACTTCTGCTAGTGAGAATTCGGTGCAGTGCGAGGATGCCAGGCTGCTCCCCGAGCCTGCTCGTGGGGTCATATGTGAAAGGAGGTGCATGGGTGCAGGGGAAAATGCCTGGGCACGAGTTGAGTGGAGTCGAGTCAGGTCGAGTTCGGCCGGCCTCAGTCGAATCATGTGACGAGTCGAGTCCCATGACTTGGCCCAACATTCTAGGGAATTGATTTGCGGCGTGCCAATCAGTTCACGGGATATTCTACATTGAGCCTCTACGAATCTTTGCAGCTCCAAAACCTGGAAACTGAGATTTAGACCATCTACTGCCTCAACACCTTGTGCCACTTAAGTTCCAGAGTTGTGTGGCCATGCATACAGGCCTGTACGCTGGGGATTGAAGTGAATGCGTGCACCAAGCCACGCTGTTAGTGGGGAGTCGATCTCACTCATTTCATGGCAAGAGATTTGAGAGCTCGGTTTCGGCTGCTGGATTTTGTCGAGTCGAGCATGATTAGTCTTGCAGACTTGCATGCAGATGTCTAAGTTCATGCAATGGAGAACTAGCTCCTCACTTATCGCCATGGTTGAAACAAGACAGGGTTTGGTTATTCAGAATGAACTCTTCTGGTTGCTTTGTCTCCCTACCTTGTGGTTTCAGCTTGATTTTGTGTGTGAAGTAAAGCAGAGCTGCACCAAGAAGTAGGAGAATGACCATAGCGGCAACAACAATGCCAATGATGGCGCCCAATGACACTGTACCCGCACCTCCTGCTGAGGAAGAGTTGCAGTGGGGACTGCATGAAGGTTATAACTAGAAGAGTTGTCAAGAGGGCGTTATAACGTGTGAGCAATAAACGTTCAGCCAAGCAGGCAAGTGCGTAAAAAACGATCAGAAGGGTGATGCTCCGCGGTAAGAGAGCCTAGATTGATCGTAATTTTGCATGATCTCAATGCGAGAAAACTCTACACCCCTCTTATTGTCCAAAGTAGGTGAGGTGCTTTTTAATAATTCGGGCAAGCATTGTGTCATGCCTTGTCCCATGCCTTGTGCCCATGCATTCTGCCATGCCTTGTGCCATGCATTGCGCCATGCGTTGTGCCATGGCTTGTGCCATGCATTGTGCAACGCCTTGTCCCTTGACTTGTGCCCATGCATTGTGCCATGCGCTGTGTGTGTGTCATGTCTTGTGCCATGCATTGTCCCATGCTCTGTGCCATGCCTTGTGCTCATGCCTTGTGCTCATGCCTTGTGCTCATGCCTTGTGTTCATGCCTTGTGCTCATGCCTTGTGCCATGCCTTGTGCCATGCCTTGTGCCATGCCTTGTGCCATGCATTGACATGCCTTGTCCGTGCATTGCCTTGTCTTTTGCCATGCCTTGCCACGCGTTGCTTGCTGTACTCTGAAATGCCTTCCTCCATGCATCGAGTTTCGACTCTTGAGACCGTACTTTGCTGATGTTTATTTACTTGCCTGCAGATTGGTAGCAAGTCTTGCAGAAGGATTGACATGTGCCACAAAAGGCTGCGTTGGGAGATTGTATTGTGCCACAGGCGGAGTAGTCAGGTGGGCATACAAGGTTGGTGCCAGAGACGTCACTGCAGTGGAAACGGGAAATGGAAAGGCGGAACTCATGGGCACAACTGCACGTACACTTTTTTGTAAGCTGCAAAAAGCTGCAAGACTCTACTAATCCTGCAAGAGTGCTCTTTATGGCCCACCCATGTCAAGTATATATCACACTGCTTACTTTTTTTTTCATAGCTTTGGTACTTGCTGAAGCCTACTCACGGGTTCAGTTCCAGTTAAGTATCTTCTCAAACATACTTAGAAGTTTATTCCAGATTGGTACTTGCTCAAGCATACTCACAAGTTCGGTTCGGTTCTGGCACTTTCTCAAGCCCACTTGCTCAGCCTATTACAAGATCAGTTTGGCTTTGGTACTTGCTCAAGCCTCTTACAAGGTTCGTTCGGGTTTCATACTTGCTCAAGCCTACTTACAAGTACTTCAATAAAGTGAAGCCTCCAATCTCAGCTGGAATCTCACCGCTGAGATCATTATCAGAAAGGTTTCTAGTCACAAGGGGTGGATGAAAAGTACAGGAGAAATCTCAGTTAGCCTAGCCTCCTGCACACAGCAACGCAGTGCCGTGCATCCATCTACATGAAGCAACGCAACAACACATGATTGAACCATGTATGGCGGGTTGGTCCAACGGGACTGGGAAACAACTACTGAGAGAAGATGCATGGTGTTGGCAAACCACTGAACTGGTCACAGGTCGTCCCAGAATGCTTAGGAACGGCAACTGGGGTGTGGAGGGGCCACAAAGCGCTAATGGAAGTGAGTTGATAGATCTAGATCTGTTTGTAGTCATTAGCTGATCACGCTCTCAGAATTCTTTGAAACAGACTGTAGGGGGCCAAACAACAACGTACAGATAGTTGAGGCGATCAAGCAATTCAAAGTCACTGAATATGTTGCCACTGAGGGAATTGGATGCGAGATCCCTGTGCATTGTGTGTTGTGGGAATTGGATGAGAAAAAGAAGAGATGAGTATAGCAGGCATGGCGGCCCACGGGGGTTCGATGGGTCGAGATCCCATCAGGTGGAGAGCACTGTTGGGAGCACGGAGGAGAACAAGCAGCCTTCGCTGGAAGCAGGGAGGGTGGGGGGTGGAGGGGAATGTAAGTAGTTGGGGAAACGTAGTTTAGGTTGTGGCATGAGGGAACGCAAGGAACTGGGATGGTCTTTGAAAGAAGAATGGAAAAGGGCACATGGATGGGCGCACAACACACGAGCTATGCGAGTGGGAAATGAAGAGCAAAATGATGTGGGAGAAGACAGAATTCCACTTCACAAACTCCTGCAAGTCTGCGAGCTTTCAAATGCAGTGCACCGAAACTGTGGGAGCGTTTTGAATTAGAGGCAAACGAACTACTCCATAGTATATGACCGCAATCCATCAGCATTGGTTCCACCAACCAACTTGAAGTAAATTGGAATAGCTAGGTCCGTCAAGGGAGTGGTCATGAGCCTATTGTAAATACATGGCTATCCTAGCTCATGACGAGCCTACTTGGCTCGGACGAGCCAAGCCAACCTGGCAAGAATCAAGTTCTGTGACGGCCAAAGGTCGGCCATTGCTCAACCCGAAAGCCTCAGGCCAGCCCGACCAACAATGCAGGCTGGACAAGACCAGCATGCGGCACTAGTTTTGCTCATCCCTAGCCTAGGAGTGGAGGACAGGAGAAGGAGATGCAGGACATTCAGCCTGGATTGGCTGTCGAGATGCTTCATACAGATAAGTGAGCCAAGAAAGCATGGAGATGCCATTGGGAATCGAACCCGCCAAGATGTTGTTCGACAGAGACCTGTGTGTGTGGGTTGGGGTAGAAGTGAGGAGATGAGATTAGAGGCACACAAGTTCAACCTAATTGGCGGATGAGGAGAGCATGGTGAGAGACAGGCATGAGTAACATTTGAATTGAACTTGAGATTGAGTTAATTCACGTTACTCGAATTGACCAAACTTTTTAAATAACACAGTCCAGAGTGCATCGAATGGCATCAAACATGGGCCTGGGAACAAGGTGCAAAATAAGAAGAGTTTTTTAGTCAAATTGTGAGGGATGAGCAAGGGGCGAACACGAACATGTTCGCGTTCGCCCCAGCTCGAACACTGCCGTTCGGCGAACCGAATTCGCCTGTAGGGAAAACATCTTGCATGCTAAGGCGAACACGAACGTGTTCGCCCCTGGGCATCCTTTGTTATGCTCAAAATACGCAACGGCGGGCAGGGGAATTGCGGGAAACTGGGGGAAAATATCTAGGCTGGATCAGCATTTTGCGAGATTTAGTTACGGATCCATAGTTTTTTTTATCCAGCTCGCCACCTGGATTTCCCCCCACGTAAGGCGAAATGCTCTCCCCGTTCTATATCTACGAAATTTGCAATTGCTCGCCAACCCCCCACAACCCCCCAACTCACGAAATATGCAAACGCTATTCCTGTCAATCCCGTGCATACGAAATTTGCGAATGCTTACCCCCAACCCTCAACTTACGAACTTCTGCGATATCCTTGTCTAATCTTTTCCCGAAAACCTAAATCTCGCATACCCAAGTCTATACAGACTAACCTAAGGTAACTACTTAATTACGCTAAGTCCTAATGAGGTGATAACGGCGTGATGTGTGGGGGGCGTGGTAGTAATGGCTGCTGCTGAATAGCGCGACTAAGTTTGAGCTCAAACAGAATGTCCCGCAACGTAAATTGTAGCCCGCCGGGACAGTCGCGTTGAACACATTCGTGTTCGTTCTTGCCCCGAAACGAACACGAACGCGTTCATGTTCGACGTGGCTCGGCAGCAGTAGCGGGGCGAACACCGAACACGTTCGCTCCGAACATTTTTAGCCAAAAAAAATCCTGTTCGGTTCGCCTCGAACGTGTTCGTTTCCATGCTCATCCCTAATTGTGACCGTAAAATTTTTGAGTGCAATATGCGTTTTGCACGTCAACCTACCGCCTATTCGCCGTCGGTGAAGGTAAATGAAGTTTTCTGTTTGAAGGTAATTTGTTATGTGTGAGGTGCGCATTTCTGAGCTTTACGTTTGGGCGTTTAGGGTTCGTGAATCGCCTCGACTATTCATGAGTTATGAGCGTTTTCGTGAAGGGTTGCATTTGTGAGTGTTCATGAGTTTCCATAAGTGAAGGTGAGTGTTCGTGTCATTTTGTAAGTTCCGAGATTTTGTGTGCGATCGTGTTATTTCATGTGTTCTGCGAGTCACGGGTTTTCGTGAAAGTGTTGTGGATGTTCATGAGTTTGTTTGTGAAGCGTTCGTGTGAGTTCGTGCCACTCACGCCGGCAACGGCGGAACGAAAAACAGTCACAAACAGTCGACGGTCATCCGCCACAGCGCCTTCTCTTCCAGAACTCTGCGCAGGTAAGTTGAATCTAAATCCGTGGCTGTGAAATGCAGATTCCGCATCCATTTGGTGCTTGTTGAACGTTGCCTCTGTTAGGCTTGTGTGAGATCTGCCCCACCTTCAACGCCACTAACCAGGGTTTGGTTCTCTCCTGCTCTTGCCACTGTACGCCAGGCGTTTGCCGAACTGTTTGGGCATACCAACAACGCGTCCGGCTTCAAGCTCAAGGCTCGTATCGATGAGGATCCTGACACAGGGGAGCGTCGCTATACCACGCCAGAAACTGGAACGTGGTGGAACGATGCTCAGGTATGGAAATACCCCGTTGCCACCTAAAACCAGAAGAGTGCGCATGCCTCTGTTGATGCACTGATGTGTAGAGAGCATCTTCAGTGTGTCATGTTTGTGGGGAGTTCTTTGAAGCATGCTTAGTCCGCCTGGCGACATGTTGCCTTGTTGGTGTTTGACCGTGTGCCTTTTCCCTCTTTGTCGTGCTTTGCAGGAACACTTTGGATGGTCCGAAGTCGTGGGGGGTATCATCCTATACTCGGATGTGACGCACATGAGCAACAAAGGCCGGAAGAAGGCGTGGCCGCTAATGATGACGCTTGCAAACATCTCCCAGGCCAAGCGATGGGGGAAAGCCGGGCACACGCTACTTGCTCTCCTTCCTATCCCCCCTTCTACAATGTCTGCCGTGGAGAAGGTGATGCTCTTCCAGCGATGCGTCATCACCATGCTGCAGCCGCTTCTCGATGGCATGGAAAGGTCCGTACTCTATTTCCGTCTTGCTATGTCGTCACCCAATCAACGTCATAGTATGCGCAGCGTTTCGGTATGTAACAGTCCCCCTTGTCCGGAATCTTCCGTAAGTGTGACTGTAAGTGTGAGTGGCACGTCACGTGCAGCTTTTTTTTGGGCGAATCTTCCATATTCAAACTGGGTGTATCGTCTTGATGATGCCATGCTTACTAACAGACGCGAGGTGAGATCCCTTTTGTACGCTAACTTTTGAGAAGAAAAAAAATGCCTCTCCGAAATTCTTTTGGGATTCCTTCGCGGCGTAGAAACTACTTGAAGAAGCGCCAGCCAGCCGGCTGAGCCATATCCGCCCCCGCATTCCTTCTTGGCATGGCAGCTCCACTGGGGGGATCTGTTTTGCTCCTCCTCACACATCCTTTGCAGGTCTGACAAAGCGTGTTTCACGGCCTGTGTGTCAGTAAGCAAACCACGCAGGCTCGGAATAAGGCTATGGGCGGTGGAGGACAATTATCGCCATCGCTAGGAACAAGTCACCTGCTTGTGAGCGAACTGAGTGGCTGCCGTCATCTGATTCGTCGCAACAAAATCTGGAAGTCTCGTTATTGTTGACACCCTGTAACGAAACTCTAATCATTTATCAATAAAAATTCAAACTATTGTAGAAATGACTCAAATTATCTTGATCTCAAATACGAAGTGAAGATATTTTCGGTTTAATGGTTTCAATGAAATTTCTTAGTTCCCGTTTGTCACTAGGTGATACACACTGGAATGCGATTCCAGAATGAGCTGAATCGTCCCCATCCAACCAGCGCGTCAAATTTTGCTAACCAAACCGTTTCAGGTCGAATCACATCACACAAAGGTTTGATTCATAGCTAATGTCTATCTGGAATGTGCCTGGTGTCGTAATTGACCTGATTTCATTAGCAACACCTCTGCATTTGCTTCAACACATTCGCCCTGGAATGGCACTTGGTACAGCACTCAAGCTCCGCAATCTGCCATGATATTGCACTTCTGCCCTGATACGGCTCTCAAGCTCCATAATCTGCCCTGATATAGCACCAAGCTCTGTATTCTGCCCTAATAAGGCTCTCAAGTTCCGTAACCTGCCCAAACATGGCACTCAAGCTCCTGTAGCTGTAGCTCGCATGAGGGCAAAAAACTTCTCCACTACATGAAGCAACATAAGCATCGAAAGGACATGGGAAGAAATTTAGGTTCCCGATTCTGATCCCCACGCCTGTCCCTAAACCCTGTAGTTTTACATACGACGACGCTTCTTAGCTACCCCAAGACTGCAAAGATAGCAGCCATGTCAGTCGGACTGATGGAAAGACTGAAGTAACTTATAATAACTTCGGAAATGGGATGTTTTTTAACGAGTATGGCAATGGATCCACCTTGTAGAGAGTCAATGCGAGACTGCAAGTGTCAGGCATATATGCTATAGTTTGTGTAGGCTGTAGTGGGGCAGTTCATATGGGGTACAACACTTTAGGGTTTACTACTTGTACTCCTCATTCTACTCAATGCATTCATTCCTCGTTTCTTATCATGGTATCGAGCAGGTTCCCTAGTGGGAACGCTACCTAGGGGCCACCACGATATTTTTTTTTCCTGCCCGGAGCGCGCTTCACTCCTGCCCGAGTCGCTCTCTGTGTGCCCTCCCTACCTTCGCGCCGCCCTTAGTGGCCCCTCTCACGGCCCCTTACGCCGCCCTTACGGCCCCTAGCGCCGCCCTCTACGGCCCCTCACGCCGCCCTTACGGCCCCTTACGGCCCCTCGCGCTGCCCTTACGGCCCCTTACGGCCCCTCTTCGGCCCCGTCTAGGCCCCTTGCGGCCCCCTCTGCGGCCCCGTCTAGGCCCCTTGCGGCCCCTCTGCGGCCCACCTGCGGCCCCGTCGCCGCCACCTGCGGCCCCGTCGCCGTCACCTGCGGCCCCGTCGCCGCCACCTGCGGCCCCGTCACCGTCACCTGCGGCCCCGTCGCCGCCACCTGCGGCCCCGTCGCCGCCACCTGCGGCCCCGTCACAGCCCCCTGCGGCCCCGTCGCCGCCACCTGCGGCCCCGTCGCCGTCACCTGCGGCCCCGTCGCCGCCATCTGCGGCCCCGTCGCCGCCACCTGCGGCCCCGTCGCCGCCCCCTGCGGCCCCGTCGCCGCCACCTACGGCCACGCAGCCGCCACCTGCGGCCCCGCCGCCACCTGCGGCCCCGTCGCCGCCCCTGTGGCCCCATAGCTGCCACCTGCGGCCCCGTCGCCGTCACCTGCGGCCCCGTCGCCCTCCCCTAGCGGCCCTGTCACCGCTCAGCCGCCCAGCGACCGAGCCACCGAGCAGCCCAGCAGCCGAGCCGCCCACCTGCCGAGCAGCCGAGCCGCCCAGCAGCCCAGCTGCCCAGCAGCCGAGCCGCCGAGCAGCCTAGCCGCCCAGCAGCCGAGCCGCCCAGCAGCCGAGCCGCCGAGCCGCCGAGCCGCCCAGCAGCCGAGCCGCCCAGCAGCCGAGCCGCCCTGCCGCCGAGCCGCCCTACTGTCGAGCCGCTGCTGTTCCTACCGGTGCGCCCCGGCCCTCCTTCCTCGGACTGGTAAGCTCACTCCCTACTAGGCCACTGCAGTCATGGCTACCCCCAGTGTCCTTACTTTTGAAGTGGGGCTTATGATAGTGCACACATATATACTCGGTACAATGCAGATGCGTTTTGCTACACTAACGAGCCCACCTTGTGGAGAGTCGACGCAAGGCCCATCTTCCAAGGCTGAGAGGATGGCAGCCGTGTCACTCGGACGGTTGGAAAGAGTGGTCAACTTGTGAAAGAACAGAAATAAGGTCTGTACGACGTGCTTGTTTTTTTATGACCAAAAATAGTACAGCCAACGCACCTTGTGAAGAGTCGATGCAAGGCTCATCTTCTAAGACTGCAAGGATAGCCGCAATGTCACTCGAGCTGGTAATATGGGCGAGCATGGCATGGGATGAGTGGGATGGCGTGGATATCCATTGATGGGCCATGGCATGGCATGAGAGGACAGGGAAGAGGAGAGATCACCAGAGGCCACTGACTGGCCAGAGGGTGGTTTGGATCGGGGTGAGAAAAAGGTAGAGTGATAGGTGGGTTGGTGAGGTGACTTTTGAGTCGACTCAAGAGTGATAGGTGGTTTGGAGAGTGGTGGATGGAGTGGGAAGTCGGAAAAAAATAGGAGGGGCAAATGAGAGAAGTGGTCACGTGAAAGGCAAGCCGGTGACAATCTTCCAAAAGCTTTGCAATAAGAGGGGTTTGCCGTGGTGGGAGTTGGCAGTGATGTATAGTTGGCAAGTAGACTGATGCCAGCACACAGCGACCATGTGTTGCCGTATCAAGACCAGGCACACAAGTGGCTTGTGATGTGTTGTATGCATGTAAGGTTTAGAATCCTTCTAGGGCAGTCTAGACACACTGCATGCATGTCGCAAGTGAGGGAAGTCTGCAATCATAGATTTGGCTTACGGTGTGTTGTATGTGATGGCGGCAACCAGCTGCTGCTGGTGTTGCACACATGCGCCTTACCATGTGTATGGCCACAACCATGCCTGTAAGAACAGATATGGCTTACGGTGTGTTGTATGTGATGGCGGCAACCAGCTGTTGTTTCAAACAAAGCCTATCGATGGGGTATACAGGATCACAGAGGGAGGAAGAAGTGGGGATGTTTCATGACTCATCATGCTTCGAAGAAAACCTATGGGTGGGGTACACAGGAGCATAAAATAGAGTCAGAAATACCCCTGCAGAATTCTGCAGCTTTGCAACAGGCTTTGCACTTCTTTCAGCGTCTATGGGATTCCAATCCAAAGATGGCCAGAATGGTAGAGAAAAGCCACTTTTGAGGCCGGCAAAAGGGAATTGCTTACTCATTGCAGTAGGAATCAGCGACCAATCGCAGCCTGCCACACGTCTCTGCCAGGCTGGCATGCAGCCCCCGTCGGCGGCTTCTCTCGTCCTCTGTGGGCCTTGGCTGTAGCGCCGCTACAGCCTGGTCGGCGTCCCTTGTCAGCTTCTGCAGCGCTGCTGCCACCTTGGCCATATCCTTGCTGGTGAGCAGCCAATCAGGGAAAGACACGTGGCATAAAAAGAATGAGAGAAAAGGAAAGTTGTGGTAAGAAAAACGTGGGGACCTAAGAATCAGATAAACGGGATGAAGACAGACAATGGGATTGGGGATAGGTGGTTGGGAAATGGAAAATGGGATGCTGCGGAACATGGAAACACTGGAGAATGGGACAGGTTTGGGAGGATGGGAGGGATGGGGAGAATGGGGGGGTTGTGGGGGTTGCAAAGGCTAGAAGTATTGAGAGATGTTTGGAAAGGCTAGAGGTGTTGAGAGATGTTTGGAAAGGCTAGAGGTGTTGAGAGATGTTTGGAAAGGCTAGAGGTGTTGAGAGATGTTTGGAAAGGCTAGAGGTGTTGAGAGATGTTTGGGGGGATTTCGAGGGTTGCAAAGGCTAGAGGTGTTGAGAGATGTTGCGAGGAAATTGGTCTTTGGAAAGTTGCTTTCTTTTGACAAAAGAAAAAAACCCTTAGATGGGGTTGTGGGGGGGTGCAACCACCACCAGTTTAGCACCGGTATGGTGGGAACCTGAAAAATGGTAGAGTCAACAAACGATGTGTGCAGCAAGATTGGAGTGGTAGGTGTCAGAACTTAGGCTTAGAAGCGATGCATTAGTAATGAGCTTGAAGCTCTATAAGTACATCCAAGAAGGGTAGGGAATGGATGGAGAAGGGAATCGGGGGCAATCCCCAGGGATTGGGGGTAATCCCAAGGCAATCTCCAATTGGTGGGTTGGAGATTGCTTGGAGATTACATTTGGGTTTGGTTGGGATGTAGGTGTACACCCAACCACTCATAAAGTGCAAACTACACTACTCTAGGATATAGAAAATACAAAGTACAAAGTGTGAGATTGAGGGCTAACACTAATACCCCCCCATAGGCGTCAATCGAACTCAGGGCAGAGAAGGTGGAGCACAGAGCCCCATGGCGCCAAGGAGACGGTGGTGAGGAACTTTCCCAAGGGGCTTCGTGAACAGATCAGCCAGGTTGCAGTCAGATGCAACGTACTCCACGTTCAGCTGCTCCCGCTGGACAAGGTCACGGATGAAGAAATTGCCGAAGTTCGATGTGTTTGGTGCGAGTGTGATACACACGGTCTTGGGAGAGGTGGATAGTACTCTGGTTGTCACACCAGAGGGTGGGGGTGGGCTGAGGGTAGCCAAGCTCCTGGAGTAGGAAGGTGAGCCACCGGGCCTCTTGAGCAGCCATGGTGCCAGCGTAGAGCTCTGCCTCACAGGAGGAGAGGGAGACTGCTGACAACCTGGTGGAGCGCCAACTGACAATTCCGCTCCCAAGGGTGAAGCAGTACCCTTGAGAGGAGCGTCGGTCGGTCTGGTCATCGGCCCAAGAGGAGTCGGTGTAACCTTCTAGCCGAGGAGGGGAGAGCCCACCGGGTGTGAGAACGTGAGACTTGGTGCCCTGGAGATAACGCAGTACCCGCTTTGCTGCCTTCCAGTGAAGATCAGTAAAGCGCCCAGGGGCCACGTAGCGAAAGAGGACACTGACGGGATATGCCAAGTCAGGCCGGGTGCACATCATGGCGTACATGAGGGACCCAACAAGCTCCGGGTATGGCTCAAAGCAGGCCTCTGGTGTGGGTACAGCTGGGGCCGTGAGGAGGTGTTGCAGTGGCAGCGGTGTGGCAACAGGTGTGCACAGCTCCATCGCAAACCGCTTGAGCACATTGTTGATGTAGAACTCCTAGGAGAGGGAAATGGTGCGAGCCTTGCGATCACGTGTGGTCTCCATCCCCAGGTAGTGCTTGAAATCACCGAGGTCTTTCATCTGGAGGGCCTTCCTCAGGGCCGCCTGGACAGAGGTCATCTGGGCCGAGTCCTTGGCAACGAGGATGAAGTCATCGACGTAGACAAGGATGTAGAATGGCTCAGAGTGACGGCGAATGAAGAGAGTCGGGTCAGCAGACGAGGGGTGGAAGTCCAGGGAGAGAAGGACGTCTTTCACCTTGTTGTGCCATTCGCGAGGGGCTTGCTTAAGGCCGTAGACGGGGCGATTCAGCTTCTAGACAGTGTTGGGAGGGAATTCTCCTAGGAAGCCTTCAGGTTTGTCCATGAACACTGTCTCCTTGAGGCGTCCTTGTAGGAAAGCTGATGAGGCATCCATGGATTTGATCTCAAAGTCTTCTCGAGCTGCGACATCCATAAGCGTGCGAATAGTGGGAGGTTTAGTTGTGGAGGAGAAAGTCTTGAAGAAGTCGTGGTACTGCTGCTGGGTGAAACCCTTGCCTACGTAACGCGCTTTCAACACCGGGGCCTCGTCTGGGAGCTGTTTCACACGAAACAACCACTTGACTCGACGATGTTGACTCATGGATGTTGTTTGCTTATGCGTTCAAGCTCTCCTTCAAAAGGGGCGGTGTCGTGTTCACCAAGTTCAAGAGCCGCATGGTGGCATGGGGCCTGTTTTCGGTAAGGATGTAGATATGTGTCTGTACACCCATGCCTCATCCCCTAAACCCCTTGCCTGTACTTCATCTAAATCCCTGGTCGCTTAGGCGTTTGCAGTTACGTAGGGTGTGTCATCTTCACCGCTTTCAGTTGGCCCATATACCCGTAACCCCCCCCCCCCCCCCCCCCCCCCATACTCCATCCACCCAACCCTACACCACATCGCAAATCGAGTGGCCCCTTCTGCAGGATAAGCGTCGCAAGCGAATTCCGGCCCAGCCGGAACAAAACAGGCCAGACTACTTCGAGTGGTGTGACAAGGTCAAACAGATGATACAATTTGCCGTCGTGGAGTGGCGGATCCCACACGATCCGGCTCAGCATGCGTTCATCTTCCCGAACAAGTTCCTCATTGACGATAGCGACCTTGGAGATGTCACTCTTGCCCACCGGGCGATTGCAGGGCCCAGCATTGCGTAGGCTATTTGACCTGGTGCTAAAACTGCTGGTTGTTAGAATGCTGAATAATGGTTGTTGTAAGCCGGAATATTGAATGTAATTATGAAATCCTCAATACCCAAAATAAAACAAAACCAAAATCCAGTTTTAAAACATTTGGTACCGAAATTGCACCAAAACGGATTGCGCCCGAATGTCATCCGGAAAAGCTCGCGTGCCAATTTGAAACTTGACCCAAGCCAAACCTTGTCGCGAGATGTGTGTCAGAGCTCCTATCAAATGATTCCAACCGTCGGTCGAAATTGGGTCCGGATTTTTTTACGCAAAGACAACCCCAATCAAAATTCGTCCAAACTTGGCATATGGTTTTTGTGATGTAGACTACGCCGCGAGTCTTGTTGCTGAGTCTGAGTCTATCTGTCCTCCGTCCATCGGGGGTGAGTGTGCTCTTGGCACGGACGTCCTTGAGGACAAGCAGGAGGACTTTGAGTGCTTTGCAGCCGCTGTACCTCATCTCGTGTCCATGCTGATTGCACATGAGGGAGACCCGGATGCACCAGACATTCCGACCCCGCGCTCTTACGCAGAGGCAATAGAGGGTCCCTACTCCTCTTAGTGGCAGTCAGCCATGGACGCAGAGATGGCATCCTGGAAGTCCACAGGCACCTACGTCGACGAGGTTCCCCCTCCTGGGGCGAACATCGTCAGTGGCATGTGGATTTTCAGGGTGAAGCGGCCGCCGGGTTCTCCACCTGTCTTCAAGGCGCGTTACGTTGCTCGAGGCTTCAGTCAGCGACAGGGAGTTGACTTCTTCCATACCTTCTCCCCGACCCCAAAGATGACCACTTTTCGGGTTCTTCTGCATGTCGCTGCTCAGCGTCACTACGAGCTTCACTCTCTTGACTTCAGCACTGCTTTCCTACAGGGCAGCCTGCACGAGGAGATCTGGTTGCGCCGCCCACCTGGCTTCACTGGGGCGTTTCCTCCTGGTACCCAGTGGAGCCTCCAGCGGCCAGTCTACGGTCTCCGCCAGGCGCCCTGTGAGTGGCACGACACAGCGAGGACTACGCTTGCGGCTCTTCGGTTTGCTCCTTCTACTGCTGACCCGTCACTGTTTCTGCGCACCGACACTTCGCTGCCGCCGTTCTACATCCTTCTGTACATCGACGACTTGGTCTTTGCCATTGCTGACACTGAGGGACTCATCCACGTGAAGTCGGAGCTGCAGAAGAGACACACGTGCACAGACCTGGGTGAACTGCGCAGCTATCTTGGCTTGCAGATCACCCGGGACAGAGCACGGTGCACCATTACTTTGACTCAGTCACACATGGTGCAGCAGGTCCTTCAGCGCTTTGACTTCACGTACTCCTTGCCTCAGGCCACTCCTCTGTCTACTCGCCACTTGCTCTCAGCTCTGCCTTTGAATGAGTCCGTAGAGCCGAGTGGCCCATACCCAGAGCTTGTTGGCTACCTCATGCACCTGATGACCTGCACTCGACCTGACTTGGCATACCCTCTTAGCATCTTGGCACGCTATGTTGCTCCTGAGAGACACCGACCAGAGCACATGGCTGCAGCGAAGAGGGTGTTGCGCTACCTGTGCAGTACGTCGGGCATGGGGCTCGTGCTTGGAGGACGGGCTCGAGTTGTCCTCATTGGTCACGCAGACGCTTCTTCGGCTGACGACTTGGCTACGCAGCGGTCGTCACAGGGTTACACCTTCACCCTTGGTTCCGGCTCTGTTTCATGGCGGTCTACTTGCTCGTCCTCTGTTCTCAGCTCCAGTTGTGAGGCCGAGATCTACGCTGGGGCCATGACTGCACAGGAGTTTCGCTGGCTCACCTACCTGCTGACAGACTTTGGAGAGGCGCCTCGTTCTCCTCCAGTTCTGTACGTCGACAACAAGGCCATGCTGGCCTTGTGTCAAGTGCACAGACTGGAGCACAGAACGAAGCACATTGCTCTGCGCTACTTCCTTGCTCGAGAGTTGCAGCAGCGTGGTCAGCTTCGTCTTGCTTACGTGGCCTTTGAGGCCAACACTGCTGATATCTTCACCAAGGCACTTCAGCCTTGTGATCATCAGCGTTTCTGTACTATGCTAGGTCTTGTGCCTACCGGGCCTCACTTGCTTACCTCTTGACTTTGCTTGTACTGTGATCTATATATACATGCTCCTGCATGCTTACCTTTGTTAGGTTGTGATCACTCTCTTGCTTGTTCACTTTGATGTATAATCCTGCATGTGAACTGGCCTTGTGGACTTTGAACCTGTGCTCGAAATGTGTGGTGACGTTGTGATCCACCCTGAGCTTGCTTTGCTTTGCTTGACTGGTCGTGTGACCCCTTGTTCTCCCCCACTTTACCTATGGGGGTGTGTCAGACATATATGATATAGCCTGTGTAGGCTGCAGTGGGGTAGACAATAGGGGGTACAGCTTTTCTAGGGTTTCATACTTGTACCTTTCTCATTCCTAGTCAATTCATTCATCGTTCTTATTTAGGAGATAGGTACTGTCCAGATGGAACGCCTTCACCACATGGACGTGCCGAAGCAGCACTTCAAGCGGAATCACGGAGTACGCATACACTCCAGTCATCCACTTGAGGTGAGTGCATCCAGGTGCAGCATCCTCCCCGCACGCATTCCAATATCTAATGTAAGCCAGCTCCTCCCTCTCTCCACGGATTTTTGTGTGGAACACCAGCAGCAACCTTGTATACCACTCCTCTCTCCGACCGTACCTTACACCCTCTACTGCAACATCCGAGTACCACGGCCGCTCAAAATAGTCAGGCGTCGCCCGAACGAAGTGAGAAACTCTTGAGAAGCTGGCATCATCTGCCGCTGGGATGGCCAACGATGCATGGGCCTGCATAAGAGTGGCAGTTTGTAAGCAATTGGAATAGGGGCAGGAAAAAATGGTTGTATGATCCACGAAGTACTTACTCTGATCTTGGGGACGCATCCAGCATAACATACTAGTGCATCCTTGAGGGCAGCTTGTGCAACTGGGTGTTGCTTGGCCCACTTCCTTGCAAACCAGTTGGTGGAGGTGGGTTCTTCTGGTAACTCCACAGGGAGAAAGTAGGACTCTTTGATAAGAGTTCGTGTGCCTGTCTCAATGGCCTGCCAACAAACAGTAGCAAGTTTATTACATTATGCATGCATAGCATTGCAATTCAATCACTAGACAGGTTTACCTGCCGCATGGCAGTCTCCCGGCCAGCGGGATCGTCCACCGGCACAACGTCCGGAATGCGCCTAGCATGGAACTTCATAATCTGACCATCTACATTGCGCTTGTTGGACCGCCGGCAGATCCTCTTTACCAACGGTCCGTGCAAGTGCTCGAACATGTTGGTGCTGAATTCGGTGACATGACCCGCCCGGCGAATGGAGTCAATGTAGTGCGACATGAGATGGGTTTTCACAAGGCACCAGGAGGATGGCTGCTTTGGAAAAGCAGCCTGCAACTGCTCAACCAGCCTGATGGGAGTGGGAGTTGACAGCATATGCAAGGACATCAGAGTCTACTAAAACATACTGCAGCCTACTTTATTTGATATACTATCATGGTTTATCAGCAACATCCTGTGAAGATAGGTTACTGCAACAGCTTAGGTGCCGTGGCTAGGCATTCATGCAATGCCCAGGGTTGTACATGCATGTTAATAGTACTGGGAGGTCTTCTTCTTGAGATCCCGCAGGGACCGCTCGGTGTGCCCCGTTGGCTGGCAACACAAGAGGTACCAGCCAAGATAGGCACGAACAGCATCCATCTGGGGCTGGCGAAGCAGGCCAGCAAAGACAAACACCATGACCTGAAAATTTTAGGGTTTATCACAGCAGGGGGGCATGAGTAGTTGGGACATGCGTGAGAAGATGAGCAAACAGTATTCGAGGCGGAATTAATGAAAGCAGGAGAGAGGGTACTGAGATGCAGCAGGGGGTGTGTTGTAGTCTGGAATCGGCATGCCAGTACTGCATGGTGCATGCTATCGCACAAGATGATCACATGCACCATGGCTTGCACACCTGCATGACGGCCCTGTGCTCATAGGCCGCGACACATGCTCCAGTCTCGAAGTAGGCGCTCTCTGGTAGGCGCAGGTGGTTCAGGCACATGCGGTCGCGAATGAGCGACAGGCGCCTGCGCATACACAACAGTTCAAAGGCAGGCA